TGTATTAAAACGTTCCATGAACTTCCCACACTAAAAAAATTACCTCCCTTAAGTGCTGTCGGTGTCAATAAAAAGGTAGAGGCACAGGTGAGTTCAGGTGCTAGAGGCTTCAGGTACTGAACGGGTTGGTTCATGAACTGAGGGCAGGCAAGACACTTGTAACACGTGGAGCGATGCTATAAGCTTTTAGCAACTCATTATGTTAATTACGGTATTGGCAAAGTGATGATTCATTGAGGGTTTAATAGAGCTTAGAAGATTTTGTTGGTCTTTTTATTTCTTCACATCGGAATTCAATACACGCCGACACACACACATACACACACACACTTACGCAGGCATGCACACACACACGCGCACACACACACCCATACGCACGCAAGCAACCACGCACGCACACACGCACACACACACATTTATTGTACAACGTACTTAATTTTGTAAAAGGTAACTAAAAAATAAACCGGGAGTCATCTCCCCTAAACTTTCTCGAATATTCTTATATAAAATAACAGGGGATGGGAACTCGGGCTATAGACATGATTTTTAATCCATTTTAAATACTTAAAGTTTTAAAAATAGAATAAAATCTCGTAGGCAAATTAATTGCACACCAAGTGAACGCCAAATAAAAAAGCGCATAATAGTGCGCAATATTATTAGTACTTTTAAAATTTACATTAGGTTTTTGAGAAATCGGAAGTAGCGTAAATTACTACTTCCAGTCAACGGAAATTACTCAAAATTTAACAGAAGGTAGAGAATTAGATCTTTTACTTACAAGTGAAATTTCATTTATCTATCTGAAATAGTACTCAAGTTATAGGCTTTTGAAAAATTCAAAGTAGGAAAAGTACCACTTCCGGTTATCGGAAATCGCTCAAAAGTTGATACGGATCTACGATTTTGATAAAATACTTATATATGAAATTTCATCAACCTAGCTGTAACGGTACTCAAGTTATCGTGTTTACACACGGACAGACAGACAGACATACGGACAAGATTGCAAAATTATGTTTTTTCCGTATCAGTGATGTGTAAAACGTCGAGATTTGTAAAAATCTCGATTTTTTTTGCACGATTACAAGACTTTCTCTATACTTCGTATATACGAGAAAGTAACAATTCCGAATTTAATAACTAATTTTTTTTTTATATTGCGGATTGATTTTCGTTTTACAATAAACATATACGAAACAAAAAAAAGTAGCGAGTATTACTTTCAGGTTTTACAATCAGTTTTTCTTCCAGACTTTTTTCTGCAGGGCGCACATGAAATTTTCGGGGGGGGGGGGGGAGGGGGCGGACAACAATTTCCGAGGGGGGGGGGGGCGGACACAGTTAAAAGTATATATTTCCTATATAAATTCCATTTCGTTCGGGGGGGGGGTACACTTTCTTTGGGGGGGGGGGGGGGGTGGCAATAGTCCCCCCCAACCCCCCCCCCCCCCCCCGAAGAGATGACTGGAAGAAACTCGGTTTACAATGACAATAAAGAGTGCAGAAAAAAAGCACCGAGAAAAAGTTTTGTACCCCCTCGCCGCTCTCCACGTGGTCTAAAGATATAGGCTAGAACAACAGCTGTCCAAATTCCAGATCAGAAAAAAGTTCCACCCTCAAATAACCGACCCACTTTCTCGCGTTGAAACAACTAACAGCTTAACCGACTTTACCGACTTTGTGTTTGTTAGGTTTTTTCCTAGACCTACGCAAATGTTGGATAAGTAGAGCATTTTTTTTTACCGGAAGCTGGTGCCAAATGTAAAATGGCGACCAGTCCACAGTTACTGTGGGAATTCGATATCGCGGGTTAATTGCCTGTTCGCTTGCTACCTAAGACACGTTGATTTAGCTAATTATGCGTGCTACGTCATCAAGCAGTTGTGTGTGAAACGTCACGAAAAGCTTTGAGGGAATTGGTACTCGGTCGGAGATTTTTTAAACAAAAAACGTTTTTCGTTTAGTCGCTTGATTAGGCGGCGCAAGATATTAGTTAACACACACACGCACACACACTAACACACACACACACACGCACACACGCACACACACACTCACACACACACGCACACACACACACAAACACACACACACACACGTTAACCCACACGCAAGTTAACTCATTTGTTCCATTTATAGAGAGTAAGTCACACCTAAAGCTTAGATGCGTTACGAGTATGTAGGAGTCATAATGTGTAGGGGATATTGTTAAATCGGAGTCATTGGGTGTAGAGGATATTGATATATCGGAGTCATAGGGTGTATGGGATATTGTTATATAGGAGTCATAATGTGTAGAGGATATTGTTATGTCGGAGTCATAGGGTGTAGAGAATATTGTTAAATCGGAGTCATAGGGTTTAAGGGATATTGTTATCGGAGTCATTGGGTGTAGGGGATATTGTTGTATCGGAGTCTTAGAGTTTACATGGTATTGTTAAATCGGAGTCATTGGGTGTAGAGGATATTTTTATCGGAGTCATTGGGTGTAGGGGATATTGTTATATCGGAGTCATTGGGTGTAGAGGATATTGTTATATCGGAGTCATAGGGTGTAGGGGATATTGTTATATAGGAGTCATGGGGTGTAGGGGATATTGTTATATTGGAGTCATGGGGTGTAGAGGATATTGTTAAATCGGAGTCATTGGGTGTAGGGGATATTGTTGTATTGGAGTCATAGAGTGTACATGATATTTTTATCGGAGTCATGGGCTGTAGAGGATATTGTTATATTGGAGTCATGGGGTGTAGGGGATATTGTTATATCGCAGTCATGGGGTGTTGGGGGAGCTTCTATATTGGCCCTTAAAATAATCGGTAAAGATAAAAGTTTCTGTTAAAAACACTTTTTTTCTCAATTATTTGAAACACCCTTTACGATCACCCGTAGGCATGGTTACGGTTTAGGCTATTGATACGTTTTAATTATCATCAATATCCCTTTAAAAAATATAGGCATTTATTTCGAAATGAATTTTAAAACTAACTGGTTTTATGATATTCAAAATTTTATTAAAGTGCCAAAGTCGAAGGGGGATTATTTGTTAATGATAAGGTATTATTTTATCCGTACAAAATTAATCTTTTTAATTAAAAAAAACCTAAAAATGTTTTGTCTTACATGTTTTAATTAAATTTCGTGCTGTTGAAACAGCCGTCAAATGGCTCTCAGGCCGGCATAGGAGTGCATTTTAAACAGTTTACACACAATCTTACAGAAGACATCGGCCTAAGACATCGACCTTCACAATCCTACAAAAGACATCGGCCTTCAAATCCTACAAAAGACATCGGCGTTCACAATCCTATCTAAGACATCGGCCTTCACAATCCTACAAAAGACATCGGCCTTCAAATCCCACAAAAGACATCGGCCTTCAAATCCCACAAAAGACATCGGACTCCCAATCCTACATAACATCGACCATCCAATGTTACATATAACATCGGCCTTCCTATTTTACATATAACAGCGGCATCCCAATCATGCCATATAACCTTGACCTTCAAATCTTATCATATGACCTTGACCTCGACCTTTCTAACCTACTATTTGTCCTTCACTTCTAAATCCTATCGTATGACCTCTAACCTGTTCCATGTGATTCAAACAAAACAAATAAAGTATATAATTAAAAAAAACAGTGGAACATTTGGATGAAATCGGGCGACACAATATATACAAATTTTAGCACTACACGAGTTACATAATACAACATACCATACAATATATCATATAACAAAAAGTGAAATAGTATTTTCGAACATTTAAAAATGCCTTAAAACTGCAACACACAATTAATTAATTAATTACAGAGGGAAAATGAAGTGCAGATCAACCCACACACCAATAGAACATGCATGAATTATTCGGAAAGAAATAAAAAAACGAATATCTACAACTAAATCAACTAAACAAAACTAGTATAATCTAGAACTCAATCCACGAAATAAATAGCAAAAACCTCCAAAACGCATTTAATATCTTCTCAGGAAACAACTTATTTTATAACAACAAAATTAAATGCCTAGGTAGTACATTTTTTATGATTATTGGTTGACTTTAAACACATTTTTAAATAAAATATTCATAAATAAACCGGTAGTGATCTCCCCTAAACTTTCTCGAATATTCTTATATAAAACAACAGGGGATGGTAACTGGGGATATAGTTATGATTTTTATTCCATTTTAAATACTTAAACTTTAAAAAATAGAATAGAATCTCAGTAAAAAAACAATTGCGCGCCAAGCGAACGCCTAATAAAGGTGTGTATAATAGTGCGCAATAGTATTAGTACTTAATAAATTTACATTAGTTTTTTGAGAAATCGGAAGTAGCGTAAATTACTACTTCCGGTCAACGGAAGCTACTCAAAATTTAACATAAGGTAGATAATTAGATCTTATACTTACTTGTGGAATTTCATTTATCTATCTGAAATAGTACTCAAGTTATAGGCTTTTGAAAAATTCAAAGTAGAAAAAGTACCACTTCCGGTTATTGGAAATCGCTCAAAAGTTGATACGGATCTACGATTTTGATAAAATACTTATATATGAAATTTCATCAACCTAGCTGTAACGGTACTCAAGTTATCGTGTTTACACACGGACACACACACAGACACACAGACATACGGACAGAATTGCAAAGCCCAGTTTTTCAGACTGGATTACGCATAAAACCTCTTAGTTTTGATAAATCTGGATTGATAATTTTTGCCCGATTAAAATAAGTCCTCTAAACTTCGGATGTGATGAAGGACTGAGGTGTAATACGGTGAAAGATGTTAAAATTTCAAGTGATTTTTGTGCACGATTACAATACTTTCTCTATACTTCGTATATACGAGAAAGTAAAAAAGACTAAAAATTAAGTTGTGTTTAATCCTTTAACTATAAAAACAAATTAACGTAAAGATTAAAGGCCGAACAAATTTAAATACTGCAAGTGTTTTAAAAGATGAAAACAAAACAAAGTTCCACTCACCGTTTTTCTAGAAGATCTCAAATTTTCTCCGCGCGCGCCACTTTGTTTTCGCCAATTGAACGCGCACCTACCAATTAGCAAACAATTTATCATAATTTATGCATTTATATAATCAAAAGCCAACACATTTTTTATTTGTTAACAGCGTAGATGAGTAAAATAAAAAACAATTCGTTTCTTAATTATTTTCAAAGATAGTTTTTAATTATTTTTTTTTCTTTTTCCCTTTGATGGTACCTTTCTCCAGAAAAAATTGCAGCGATTGGGGTGTGAAGTTGGTTACCATGAAAACAAAATAATTTTATGACCTCTGGAGAAAAAATCGCTTGGGCGATGAGTGCGGGGTGAAGGTCACGTGTGAGTACCTTCATCAAGGCGAGTAACTGACGCAGAACGGGGGGTGGGTGGAGGGGGTGGAGGGGGAGGGGTGGGGATAGTTCCGCGACTCAAAGAAACCCTTTCGTTTTTATCGTGGTAGTAAAAATGGTGGGTAGGTGGTTTGGTTGAGGCAGGTGTTTGCAATAATCTGGTGGGGTGGCGTGTTGGTTCAATTAGGTGACGTCATGAACACATTGTCCGGTGGATTTGTCCGTATCATAATCTTTTCCATCAAGTTTCTGTTTCACAATTTTTTACTTCAATGTTCTCTCCTAATTCAAAATTTTTAACTTCAATATACTCTCCTAACTTACATTTTTTTTCTTCAATGTACTCTTTTTTTTACTTAAATATAGACTCCTAATTACAATTTTTTACTTCAAATAATCTACCAATACAAATCTCAACGTGCTTAAACTAAAAGAGGATTAGCGGATGATTGAGTTTGAGTTGGCTCCAGAAGAGAAAATTTTGGTATATACATATTGCTTATATATATATATATATATATATATATATATATATATATATATATATATATATATATATATATATATATAAGGAGATACAGAGAGAGAGCGAGAGATATAAAGGCGTGTGTACATAATTTCATAGCTCAACTAGGAAGTCATTAAAATAAAATCAACAGAAATCATTTACCGATAAATCGACGCAACTAATGTGAGATAGAAATTTAAAATGACATTATTGCAATACATAATTTAAATTAGAAAAAAAATGTATAAACGCTACCTCTTGTCCCACCAAACAAAATAATTTGAAGAAAACACACTCACCTTTTTTAATGTGCTATTCGAATCAGTTGAAATCTTCAGTGCCACCGTTTCAATTATGTTTGGTGTGTAATCATGTTCAATTAGCTGCGTGTCAACTTGTGCCCACCCCATTTTTGTCAGCGGAGTTCAACAGGTACAGCAAGGTCGAGAGGTTGGGCCATATGGGCTAAGCTACCGTGTTAGTCACAGAAAAAAATTATATATATATATATATATATATATATATATATATATATATGGGGCCTAATATAGCTAGTCAATTAGCATTATTATACAACAAGCAAGAACACGCCTAAATCTGATGCCATACAACCCCGATCGCTACCCTTACCGTTATCCTAGCTCTATCCACTAGCACCCTGTAAACCTAACCTAGACTACACTGTGGAGTCAAGCAGCCTTACAGGTTATGACAGCATGTGGGTACGGCTTATCGGTATAAACCAACACATTTGAGGATGTGTTGTGAGTGAACTTAAGTTTAAACGTACCAGTTCCTCACCCTCTCCTCTCAACACACGCCCCCCCCCTCCCCCATTTATCAACAAACCTACTACCTGTGGCCCAAAGTGTTCGACTAAAAGATACGCGAAGTTCATTGAAGCGTGACGTCTATTCATTACTGGCATTCTAAAAAAGTCGTTGAGAAATCGTTTACGCTTCGGTTGAGAATGCCAAGTGTGTCAATCTCAGACACCAATTAAAATAATTTCAGAGACTAAAACCAGTTTTTGAGAGGATTAAAATAACTTAGGCTAGGGCGAGACTTAATCTTACAGCTCCTTACCACGCTTAAGTTGTATACATTATACATATATTAAATATGTAGCCTATAATAAGCTTTTATATGCATTATACACATTATACATCGTTTTAAATATATATATATATATATATATATATATATATATATATATATATATATATATATATATATATATATATATATATATATATATATAAGTTAACCAGAGGCGTATCCAGGTTTTCGTTGTAGGGGGAGCGAAAAGAGCAAAAAAAAGGCGCCGAATTTAAACACGTTCTAAATACGTGTATTATATATATATATATATATATATATATATATATATATATATATATATATATATATATATATATATATATATATATATAATTACTAGATGTATGTCATTAGTTCGCTATGATGTAAAATAAATTGAAAGTAGCACTCTGAAGAAATAAAAAAAAACACACAATGTAGGCCGACAAAACAAAAATTGTATCAATCTAAACAAAAAAAAAACAAACAAAATATACAACAAAAAACAATGAACGTAACACAATCTGTTTTGTAATTCTTGTAAAAAAATTTCTTACATAATAATTTCTGGGAAATTATTTAAGACAAGTGAAATAGGGGAAATAATCACTCTCTTAATATAAATATGTATATAGCTACACATTTAATTATAAATGTCAAAACGAATAAACAATTACTTTAGAATATAATGAAATTATTTAACACTATTCGTGTTTATAAAATGTTTTTGTCTATAATCAGAATTAAATATATCATTATCATAAATGCTAAAGCATTACAGCATAATGAAAGTTTTTGAAATCAGAGTTGGTATAAAACCACGCTTTTCGATACAATTGAAACACATTCGGAATAACAGCCTACATTTAACTACATGTCGGTATTTTAGTTCAGATCATATATTTTTTTAATTAACTACTGCTTCTTTGTTTTCCTTAAAGATCATTTTTAACATAGTGATAGGTATGGGTTAGATCACTGTATTGCTCACACACCCTTTTACTGTCCGGTCACTTTAGGTCAATTATCCAACCTAGTGTATACCTAGGTGTGACATTAATGTCGCTCTACACAATTGTGGTGGTGAGGTGTGTGTGGGGGGGGGGGGGAAGATAACCAACTCAGAGTGAACATAGCGTCAGTTTTTAGATGAATGTTCTAAACATACATATATATTACACATGTATACTGATTCAGAAATATATTTAAATAAGTAGCAGTGGTATTATGACAATATTTTTTTTTTTTACAGAGGGGTCCATGGGGGAGGGGGGTTGTAACTGTTTCATATAATTTGTAATCTTATCACTATCGCCCAAACTGTAAGAATACTACTACTTCATCGTGACGACGTTGTTGACCTTGTCAAAATTTCCCCACCGCTACGCAGCTTGCCCATAAGTAAATTTAAATAGAGGTGCCACATCAGTTGTATTTGTTTCTGTATAGTAATTTTTAAAAAATTAATCACACGATTCAAACTGTATATATAAAGTAATTTAAATTATGTGTGAAGTTTTATGTATAACATTTTCTAATGCAATTTTCGAAAGCAAATACATTATACAGTTGCCTTAAACTTAACACCCCTCTTGCCAAGTCTACCTGTAGAGGATTTTTAAAAATTCTAATGCATCGTAGTGGTTATTTTTAGAATAGAAAACTGATGCAGCTATTAATACGTGTTGTAAACGTAGACACTACTAGACTAGTACAATAATGCTTAATTGCTGCATGAAAAGAAATCTTGTGATTTACATATATGTGCCGACCAAAAATATTTTTTTAACAAATAACATTGCTTAAAACTTAGAGTTTAAAAAGTTTCCAAAAAGGCGCCACTTTGCTAAAAATGGTAAGAGGGGGAGCGGCCGCTCCCCCTGCTCCCCCCCCTGCGTACGCTACTGAAGTTAACACTACTTGCTTATTTTGTCCAACGTAGTGTCACGTTTGAAAGAAATCAGCTGGAGTGGGGGAAATGTCTTCATTACCGAAACAGGGGTGAAGGACGAAGCTCAAAGGAAGGCTCGGAAAATCATGTTATACAAACAGTGGAAAAATCATAATAAATCACACACACACAGACATACATAGACTCTCACACACAGACACTATATATATATATATATATATATATATATATATACACATATATATATATATATATATATATATATATATATATATATATATATATATATATATATATATACACACATATATATATATATATATATATATATATATATATATATATATATATATATATATATATATATATACATATATATATATATATATATATATATATATATATATATATATATATATATATATATATATATATATATATATACAGTGGCGTAGCGAGGAGGTCGGTGCGGCACTTAATAGTGTCACCACCCCCCCCAGAGGCGTAGCGACTATTCTCTTCACGGGGACAAACTTCCAATTTTCGATTTGCACCCCCCCCCCCCCCAAACTTCAGATTTGCACCCACACGAACTTTCGATTTGCACCCTCCCCTCGAACTTTCGATTTGCACCCTCCCCTGGAATTTTCGATTTGCACCACCCCACCTCGACTTTCGATTTCCACCCTCCCCCCTGAAATTTTCTCTACATATTTTACTATTTTTTGCCTTGGTGTCATCCCCCCCTCCTAAATGGTGTCACTCGGTGCGGTCCTTACCCACCGCCCCCCCCCCTCGCTACGCCTATAGATATATATATATATATATATATATATATATATATATATATATATATATATATATATATATATATATATATATATATATATATATATATAGTGTGTGTGTGTGTGAGCGTACGTGTGTATACGTATAAGGCAACCGACACGTAGCAGTCTATTTTCTGAACTTCGACTGTGTAGAATGCAGTTAAAGCAGCTCAATATAATCTTATTTTCGAATCCATTTGGCGCCTCCCTAGGGTGGGGGCGTTCCACATGCCCTCCCCTAGATACGCCTCTGCCAGCGGGGAGAGGGTGCTGGGGTAAGAGCTGGAGGTGGGGGGGGGGGTGACAAGCGTTGTGACACTGCCTAGAAATAGGTCAACCATAGTTAGGGTAGGGGGATGGGGGAGGGGCAGTTGAACTTGTGTTTCGCTTGACTGCATGGCGTCGTCCCACATAGAAGACACAGAAACCAATGACGTCACTAGATCGATGGGTCAAGTGAACCGCAAGTCACCAAAAAATTTTTAAATGTCGGGTTAGCGGCGAAGATGGTCTCAGGTGAGCGAATCGTGAGAGGAAACAAAGAAATTGATAATTTGAAGACATTTTCTATACTAAAACTCCAAATTAAACCATAGACCTTATCTTTGTCTAAGTATAAACTAGTGTAGTAGACTTTCTATTAGCTTAAGAGACTTCTAAAATTAAAAACTAAAAGGAACGAAACATTGTAAAAATAGTATAGCAATATGGTGTGGGATACAATTTTTAAATACTGCTGCACGCTAATAGATCTACTAACTTTGACAAAAGTTCCGTCGGGTTATTTAAATGTAAACAATGTTGGTACTTTCTTTCAATTTTACTTGCTGGGGCGCGGGCTTGTCCAGACTGCCGCCCCAACGCCCCAGAGTGAGCTGTATTAAAACCTCGAGTGTACCCTTCGTAAAGGTGGGGTAAAACACACCCTCTTCGACCGCCCTGGTGTAAGGGGCGTCGCCGGGCGCTCTTGGAAACCGTGGATTACGCTACCTCACAGAGGCGCAGCGACCCGTCCTGGCGCCCAGGGACAAACTTTTCGATTTGCACCCCCCTCAACCTTTCAATTTATTTTTCCAACCCATTTTGGCGCCCCCTAAGGTCGGCGCCCGGGGACATATGTCCCCCCCCCCCCGCCCCCCCCCCCTCGCTACGCTACTGCTACCTCATGACTGATGGATTAATTATTACAGTTTTCATCATCTGCCTGTCAGGACTGATAAAGATTTACAATAGAAATACTTCTTTCTGACACGTACTTTCATTCAATGAAGATAGTTTGCTTATACGTATTACTAACACACAACGTTTAATTGAAATTTTTATTTCTAAACCTGAAAATTTAAATGTTTAACTAAATGGTGATTCAATGTTCTGTAAAGATATATAAAAATGAGAAGGTTTTTTTTGGTAGGGTGGGCTTACAAGTAGAGCTGAAATATATATGGGATTAAAGAAAAAAAGTATTATAAATATTAAAAGCAGCCTTGGTTGAGTGCAATAAGACACATCATGTAAACAATTCTTCCATTTCAAACAGCTATATTAGCTATATCCATAGAAGTCCTTACACAGTTTTTTATTTTTTAAATAAATTTATTTTATCAGAAAATAATAAAAAATAAGTTATTTTGTAGTTTTATACAGTTTTAAATACATGAGCTTAAGTAATATATAAGTTTCCGGCAAAGTGTAAAAACCTGCATTCTATAAACTACCAAGGCAATATGTATTTTTTTGTATGCTGCCTGAATTGGGTCGTCAAAGTATAAAATACATCAATATTTCAAGCATTTCCTGGTCATTCTATAACGTACCCAACAACAAACAGGCAGAGTGTAGAATACGCTTGTTAGCGTTATGGTTAGGTTTAGGGTTATAGTTAGGGTTATAGTTATGGTTAAGGTTGAGGTTAAGGCTAGGTTTAGGTTTTAAATGTTGTTACTAAAGACTTTTTGCAATCTGCGAGTTTTTCACTTTGCCTGAGCAGTTCTTGTCATTCTATACAACGCTTGCGCAATTTATGTAATACCTAGGAAAAGTAAATAACAACGTTGATATATCCTGATTGTGTACATAGCAGAGGTATTCTTAAGAATAACTTAGAGAATATCTGATTTTCTAATTTTTCTGGTAACATAAAATATTAAAATCCACTACTATTTATGTTAATATAGTTTTTCAGACCGCTGTGTACGTTTTCTGTTTCATCTACTGTCAAATTTTAAATATAATATGAAAATTGAGTAAAATTGTTAGTAAGTTAATACATAAAAAATACAATCTACATTTTAAAATTAATAATAAAAAATAAAAATAATTTCCCCGTGTACGTTATTACTAATGCATATGTTTGTACTTGTCTTGATTATTAGGAAAAGAACAATTGATTATTTCCCTTGGTTTAAGAATATATGTAGGTGACTATTGAAGTGATGATGAGGGGAGATAACTATTCCGTTTGATGTGTGCTTCACTAGTTCAACATGGCATGTAATCTTGATATTCTCAGTAAAAAAATATGTAAATTGCCAACCGATTTGTTAATCAATCACAATCAAGCGGAATTGCGTCATTCTATTTTTAAACTTAACACGTATCTAATATTCTATTTTCCATTTTTGTTTTACAACTGAACTACCAAATACAGACACCAGTTTTTTTGTAGCACAACTTTTCAACATGGAGCTTACGTCACGTGGTCAGGTGTTGCCTAAGTCGTGTACTCATTCTGTCGCGCCATTTTGTTTGCAGGAGAGGACGAAGTTTCATTGGTGTTTCGGACTACAACCCACCCCCCCCCCCCCCCCACTCCCCACCCACTCCTCCGAATTTCTACAAACACCTTCGCCTAGAACAACAGTGTTTCTTTTAGAAATTTTTTTCTCGGGGTGGTGGGGAGGTTACTTTAAACTTTCGGCGCCCTTACATGCCCGGGGGGGGGGGGGGGGGACACCTGTTACTTAGAACACCTGTAAGATGGAACACCTGTAACTTGGATTTTGGAACACCTTTAAACTTGGAACACCTGTAAGAAGGAACACCTTTAACTTGGAACACCTGTAAGAAGGAACACCTTTAACTTGGAACACCTGTAAGAAGGAACACCTTTAACTTGGAACACCTGTAAGAAGGTACACCTTTAACTTGGAACACCTGTAAGATGGAACACCTTTAACTTGGAACACCTGTAAGAAGGTACACCTTTAACTTGGATCACGTGTAACTTGGAAATCTGTAACTTGTAACTAACTTACTTTGAACACTTGTAACTTTACACTTGTAATTACAGCACCATGTAGCAACAACACAACGTACACAAAACATCAACTACGAAGAAACCGGGGTAAATATGATTCCCTCTCTCGGTCAATTTACTGCAGGCCAGTGCTCAGTCATGCATGGGAATCAACAAACATTCACATGTTAAGGTGAACGTTACACTCGGTCAGGCACCGGCCTTGAACTTTAACAAGCCGTCAACTGAGAGACAGAAACTAGGCCAACACCATCTTAAACCTACGGACATAGCGAGACACCATTCATTTAATGTTCACTCGTTCAAACCATGTCTAATTCATTTAAATAATGACCTCACCGGCCGAAAAAATGACTTAATCATTAACATAATGTCTTCATCGGTAAAAACATGACTTTCAAATAATGACTTTATCTTTCACATAATTACTCCTTCTTTCAAATAATGGCTTAATCATTCACATAATTACTTAATCCTTCACTTAATCCTTCACTCCCTTGTCCTAAGCCACATAATTTCTCACCATTAAAATACCCTTTATGTATTTTGTGTCTTCAATATTAGCATTTATAATAATTTTAGTTACCATCATTGAAGTAGTTCATTGAAAAAGGCCCTTGCAACAAAAGTTCAAATTTCTCAATTTAAGTTGCAAAACAAACCAACAAACGTTAAATATGTGCATTAAATATGGAGAAAATAAATAAAAACACCAACACAAAAGACTTTAAAATTGTTAAGCAAATAAAATAACGACGAAAACTTAAAATAATATCCAAGGCCCAGAAATATATTTTATAAAGTAAGACAAAAAAACTTAACCGAGTTTTGTCGCACTTTCCCCCAATACCTGTTTAGACATCCTGGTTACGCCCATTAGGAACAAGAAAACAAAGGGGGACAACTGTGTTTTTACAGCTGAGCCTGTTTATTATTGCAGTGAACGTGTTCACAATGACGGATCTAGCAAATTTGTCTCGAAGCGTTCGTCCATAACGATTCATAGTCTTTATTTTGAGGTTTTGCTAAAAAGCCCCCCACCCCCAATATATACATATACATATATATATATATATATATATATATATATATTATATAGGCTATATATATATATATTATGTGATAGAAATAGTTTGTTAACAATTTATCGATGTTATTTTGAATGAAGTTCTAAACTAATCAACAGGTAAGGAACCTTAACCAAGGCAACCGTGTTAATGTAAAACATTTTACCAACGGAAGCATCAAACAACTTGGCTAATGTTTAAAAGATGTACAAAACCACTCAAGCGAGATTTACCTGCGGCAGTACTCACCCAAGCGCTACGTTTTTTTTCTTATCTTTAAACGGGTGAGGTAAGGTAGGTGTGACGTCAGAGGTCTGTGTACGCTGTTACCTGGGTACTATTTCACACATAAGTAGTCTACTGAGATGTTGGTTACCATAGAAACGCTTCTGTAAGGACCAGGAGAAGGGCTAGTGTTGAGGCTGGGTTAGCAATAAATCGAGCAAGTAGACCGTGATAATGGTTTATGCAGCACTATTTTCACAGAGGAAAAACAACTGGTTTGTGGCAGCTAAAGTTGATCATACAGTGGGAATGTTTTAGTGGGAGAGGTTCATTAGGGAACCAAAGGTATAACCGTTGTAGTTCTGCCTCAAACATGATGGCGTGTAGTGATTAACTTCCTGGACATCTTGATGTCAAAGACATTTGGATGTCACGTGATATCAACCAGGCTATGTCACATGTCATCTTACTACCAACATGCAACATTTCTTTGATCAACTTAGTGGCACACAACTTGCCCCCAAAACACTGAACACCCAACACCACACATACGCACCTCGCGTCCAGCTAGTAGATGGACAGTACAGGGCAATTGAGCCATGGGATGCAAATGATAAAGACGAAGTTAGGGAGCATCTAAGTAACAATAGAAATTTCTTAAAGCATTGGGACAGTTATGATGTTGACGGAGAAAGACAAAATGAAATGCTTAGAGAAGCAAGGCGTAGAGAGGTAGAAGATGCCATTGGAGTAGATGGCCAAACTGAAACACATCATACTACTGCAACATCACAGCACACTATACACCCCAACATCCTGATATCACACATCATCTACCATCCAGCACAATAAAACACCAGCAACTGTGAACATATGTTTTTATTTCATAATTTCAGATGCTCTGTTATAGTAAGCTGAGACAAAGGAGAACAGCTACAACCCTGACCCCACCCCAAGGTGTGGGTTCAAATCCAGGCGAGCTGCAGATAAATAAACGACTTTTTAATTGTCTGGTTTTCTTTCTCATTTGACATCTGCTCCAGTGAATTAATATTCAACAATTGATCATGACACTGAGTATGTACACTGCCTTCTAAAACATTGAGAAACTAAACAATTAATAAGGGGATGTAACTCACACTAAAAGGGAAGTAATTTACTCCTTTTAAAAAATTATATTAAAAAATCTAGAATGGGGAAATGTACAGAAAACAAAACCATATTAAATTTAATTTAAGTAGTGTTAATGACAACTTTTAAGTTACAATGTAAAAAGTAAATTTGTCCCTTCATTAACTTGAAACAATGATTTTGTCAACTCCCTCAACAGACACATCTTATTAAACCCATCAGACCAAAAACAAGCTTGATCTGGCCACAAAACTCACCAGGAAAAAATTGATCTTAGCATGAAAAACAATTACATTAAGTTACAGTATTCAAAAGATAAATTATGCCTAAAAAAATTACAAAAGAGAATTATGCAATACAAATTAAAAAATAAAAATAAATAAAATTTAATTTTTTTTCCCAATCCACATTTTTAAAAAATACCATTGAATTCAATTTTTCAGATATCAAATTAGAAATTTTGTATAACTTGTAATCAAATTAAAATCTGTTTTCGAAGTAAAAACTTATTGCTTGAAAATAAAATTGAAAATGTCCCACTTAGGAAGCGGAGAGACAAATGTTAGTTTACTCTGGTATGTCAAACGTATGACAAGTGTGGACAAATTACAAATGTTACAACCTTAGCACAAAACAAAAGATATAATCTCATTAAGGACAGCACATTAATCAACATATTTGTTAATCAACAAATCTGTTGATTAACAAACTATGCCGCAATAGTATTTTATGAGTGAAGTAAAATTGTTGAAGACACAATATGTAATAAAATTTTGGGACAATCAATGTTGTATGGCCACAGACAAACGTATGAGCACAAACGTATGGGCAGACAAATGATGTACGGACACAGACAAATATTGTATGACGACAGACTAATTTTGTCTGGGAACAGACAAATGTGTACGGGCAAAGACAAATGTATGGACAGACAAATTATGTATGGGCATAGACCCACGTTGTATGTGCACAATCAAATATCGTATGGACATAGACTAATGTTGCGTGTGGACAGACTAATGATGTTACAACAACATAATGTGCTACGTAAAAGTCATCTTGTTTTTATTCATCATTTAAGTTTTTTTCAGTCACCGTGGACTAAAGTACACAAATCTAAAAATAGCAACACAGATAAAAAAAAAACAAAAAACAAACAGTAATGTTAAGGAACAGGAAAAAAAAATGTCTTCATTTAATTTTTTTTATAAAACACTTAGAAAAAAAAATTGGATATAAAAAGTATTTACAGTTGTGACAGGGAGTTAGATAACATGCACCTCCATGTACGTTAAATAACAGTGTAGACCCAAATCACAGTTAACTCGTACCCTTATCAACCAGATTGTTTTACCATTAAATTATTAAGTATCTCGTCCACTTTCTTATTTCCTTTGGTGGAGATGCTATTTGAATCACTGGTTTCACTCAAGAATTTAGACTGAGTTAATTATCTCTACATAGCAGGAGAAAGAGGTTTCAGATTTGCAAATACGAAAAAAAAAATTTAAACATAATTGAATATCGGATAGAATGTGCAAACATTTGAAAAAAAGTGAAAATAAAATAGACTCTGTTTTAGTCATTAAACTGACAAGGTCAATACATCTATTTTGTTTTAGCATTCTTTGGCCAGATAAAAAGCTGGTTTTGTAAGCAAAAAACAGATTTGGTAATTCTTTATTTACAATCTGTTGATTAATTAATCTTTTAACCCACACTTTGGTACAAATTTTAAAACCAGCTGTTACAATATTCTGTTAACTGACCAATGGTATCACAGCATCCTAAAGCATGATGGTATGGATGGACATGATCACCTACTATGAAAGCAATGCTTGATGCCTTAAGTACATTACATACTGCCTTGATTCAGGCAGAAAATGACCAGACCATAAACCTTTCTTGACCCAGGGAATAGGATAGAGACCTATGATGCCAAAGTAAATAGATTTGCCATTTATCAGAGAACATATACACAGATTTGTAGGGACAATAAACTAGGGCTGGCAGTTCTTACAGGTCATTGACCTGCATGTCAAAGGTCAATAGAGAAATGCCATGTTGGCATAAAAGAGGTACGTAAAGAACATTATGTAGCTACAATTGAAAGTCGTGTCGATGGAATCACGGAGAGAAGAAACTTAAGACCTCACTTGTTTAACATAAACTGGCAAGAGATAAATGTAGCTGAGTATGAAGCTACATTCACATCAGGAACAAGAGATGAAGCTAACTTCACATCAGGAGCAAGAGAAAGCTAACTTCACATAGTAGCTCTAGATGGATGATAATTTGGAACTGACAGTTAACTTTATTTCTAAAATCATCTCCTTTCTTATTTCCCTTTTATTTTGAAAAAAAAAAGTTTTTCAAGCAAAAAAATGTCATAGATGGATAAATGCCTGATATTTTAATGTAACATGACAACAGTAAAAAAAAAACAGTTACCTACAGAATTAATGAATTAAAATTGTTGATTTGATGAGAAAACTAGTCAAAGTTATACAACAGAAACAGTGGTCTGTAGATTAAATGATTTAAAGTCTGATCATAGTTCACTAGATTTACAAAACAACTGCAATAAATTTACAAAAGTTGACAAATATCTAAAACAAAAAATCTTTTAGATAAAAAAAAAAAAACCAACAAAGTTAGGAATGTTACTGTGTGAAAAAAAAATTTCTATTGTGCTGAAGGGAGGGGGGAGTATTGCACACAATTGGATGCACTAAATATACATGTGTAAAATACGTGTTGATTTGATTATATACATCGCTTGGCATTGAAACCGCACACCGTCCACATACCTCATGACATGTCATGTGTATGACATGTACAATACTGACATGTCATTTGACATGACATGTCAGCAGCTCCAACTACGGCATATATTGGCATTAAACAACCTACAAAAAATAATTACAAAAAAAATTGAATTCACACAACCCAGATTAAAAGTTATTGAAATTTCACACCACGATAAAGTATATTAAAATTATGAGAATTTGTATCACATAGCTTGAAAGGTAAATAATTCTTAATTCATAAAATACAAATTTTACTTGAATAAATCAATTGTGATTTTTTTTTTACAATTAAAAGTGCTTAGAATAAAATAAAACAGAATATTTTGAAAAATAAAATGTGTTTGTTACTAATAAAATATGAACATTAAAAATGTAACAACTAGAATACAGTAGTTAGGGTGAAACTTTCAATGAAGAAAATGATCCAATTAATAAATTGCCAGATAATGCTTCAATACAGTCCGCTTGAAGATATGCCTATCTGTATATACTTTGTAATTTTTGTCCAATTCACAGCAAATACCAAAATGCGTAAGCAAATCCTTATTTAACAAAAACCAACATTAATTCTTAATTTTAACAATCGAAAAGATTTTTTTCTTTGCAAATTTTTTGAAGATCCAGGAAGAATTCATGCTAATAAATTATGAAAATGGAATGATAAGCAATACAAAATGGTTTCATTAAAATAAATGTATACAAAAAAACAAAGCTTGGCAAAGAAAGAATGTACACAAGATCAAATGTACACACAACAAGTCTCTGTGTATTAATTGTGTACAGAGAGATGGTTTTACTTTGCTCAAGTTTACAAATCATGCCTGTCTCATTGAAGTTACGTGTCTTTAGAGTTTTATTTTGTACAGGTAGTCTAGATAAAATTAAACACCAAATTTTTTTTTTACAGCTGTTGTTAAAGAAAATGTGAAAGTTTCCCCACCAGAATACATTGCTTCATCTAAGTCAAATGCACTGTGTCCAGTCCAACCCATGATACTGGGTCAGACCCATGATACTGGGTCAGACCCATGGGCACTCAGTAGACAGGGAACTAGAACTGGTCAGCCTGAGACACTTGTCATTGACCAGAAACTTGACAAAACTACTTGACATTTTAAAAATGGACAAGCTGACAAGATCAGGAATGCCAGCCCCATATAATCTGGTGTAGTCTTGTAAGATTAATCCTGCTGTGGGATTAACTAGTAAGCTTACAGTTAAAATAAAAACTAAATTGGGTAAGTTCCACTTAAGTTCCATTTTCAAATATTTGTACAGAAATGTAAGGATTTGATATTTTAAAGCCAGTTTCTGTTGCAGAAATTTGCTCTTATAATTCATTTACCTAGATATGCAAAACTGCTCATCCTAGAAATTTCTAATACAATAAGACAGTAAAACAACTGATCATTACATATGGACTAAAACATTTTAATTCTCTTTACTAGACTGGACATCAGTCTGTATGTTACTCGTAGAAGACAGCTTGTTCTAATATGTACACATAAAGCTTACCGGTTTTCTTAACCATAAAAAAAGTGGTTATACATAAACTGACCCAAACCTTCTCTGCAGTGAGCAGCCCCCTATACATACAGAATCCTTGTTTAAATATTACATGAACACCAGTATTAAAAAAAATATCGTCAACATATTTTCTTTTTTTCACCATTTGATTAAATTGTTCAATGCTTATGAATGATACTGATCCAACTGTGGCTACCAGGGGCAGACAACTTTATTTTTTCTTCAGACTGCTGGATGTGGTTGACTTCATGTAGGATGACCCAGAGTTGACTCCCCCTGTCAGGTTTGTCAGGGACCCCCCCAGGCCAGGCATGCTCCGCCTGTTGTAGGGGTTACCTCCCTTCTGGGAGTTCTTCCTCTTCTTGTCCCAGACCAGTTTGTCAGGCTGGACAAACACGCCGTGGCGCGACCTGCACTGGAAGTACCTGATCCCCTTGACGGCACCGTCGTTTTTACCTGAAACACAGAGAAGGTGAGAGTAAAACAACTGTCAAGTCCACAGGAAAGGTAGATCTAGAGATGGTGTGAGAGAAATCTAAAACAACTGTCAAGTCCACAGGAAAGGTAGATCTAGAGATGGTGTGAGAGAAATCTAAAACAACTGTCAAGTCCACAGGAAAGGTAGATCTAGAGATGGTGTGAGAGAAATCTAAAACAACTGTCAAGTCCACAGGAAAGGTAGATCTAGAGATGGTGTGAGAGAAATCTAAAACAACTGTCAAGTCCACAGGAAAGGTAGATCTAGAGATGGTGTGAGAGAAATCTAAAGCAACTGTCAAGTCCACAGGAAAGGTAGATCTAGAGATGGTGTGAGAGAAATCTAAAACAACTGTCAAGTCCACAGGAAAGGTAGATCTAGAGATGGTGTGAGAGAAATCTAAAACAACTGTCAAGTCCACAGGAAAGGTAGATCTAGAGATGGTGTGAGAGAAATCTAAAACAACTGTCAAGTCCACAGGAAAGGTAGATCTAGAGATGGTGTGAGAGAAATCTAAAACAACTGTCAAGTCTACACGGTAGAAGCCCAAAGTAACAAGTTAAAAAATGTAAATTCTACAAAGATTGTGCCAGAAGGGTCCAGTTAATAAAAAGTCAAGTCTACATTGAAGGAGCAAAAAGTGACAAGTTAACAACAAAATAATTATCACATTGAACAGTAAGAGAAAAGTAGGTAGATGGTAAGTTAAAAAAATATTTGAACAATTTAAAATTTGACTAATTTTATAAAAAAAATAGTGATATTTTAATTTCCTATTTAAAAAAATCAGCATACAAATTTTTCTAACTATAAATCCCTAAAGATTTGTGAAATGAATGAACTTATAAAATCTCTACAGATTTGTGAAATGAATGAACTTCTCAATCTCTGAAGATTTGTGAAATGAATGAACTTATAAAATCTCTGAAGATTTGTGAAATGAATGAACTTATAAAATCTCTGAAGATTTGTGTAAGAGAAAACTGACCTTCAGGCTGGTCCAGTTCAACCCCCACCCACACTCCGTTAGCAAACTGGACAGTTCCCACAAAACGGATAATCCCTGTTTTAGGGAATCCACGTGACGATGTCACTGTGACATTCTCCCCATCCTGGATCCAGGTTGGCACTGGTCCCTCATGGAGTCTGTCCAGATCAGCGCGACTTCCAAATGAGCACTCACTCATAGCATCATCACCTACTGAAGTAAACACAGAAATATTTCTAACTTGGTAATAGAATTATAGTACCATTTTTAGTACAGTATAATATACAAATAAAAATGTGAAACAATACATCTAGATTATGATGGGTAATATAGATTGTAAGTATATAAATAGTGCTTGGATAAATCAAAAGCATTGAGCATTTTGAAATTATTTTAATTAATGTGTGTATAGGATTAGGGAGAAGTAGAGTTTACAGCTGAATTTCTTATTAAGTATTTAAGTGTAAATATTATTCGTTGTATGAAAACTACTAAGTACTACATTAACCTTTGTATGAAAAGTATTACATTAACCTTTGTATGAAAAGTACTACATTAACCTTTGTATGAAAAGTACTACATAAAATTTTTTTTTGCCATAATATCTGTTCCTAACAATCTCTTCTATCTGCAAGATACTCTACTGTATTAACTAGATGCTTGGCCTACAAGAGCAAACTGACCAACCTGTCAAAAACTCATCTGAGCTGGTCATGTGACCCCCGTCCTCCTGCCACGCCCGGGTCATCATCTCAGCCTGGGGTGACACAACCATGGACATGGGGCGGGGCCGGATGCCAGAAGACTTCCTCTTGGTGTTGCCAGACTTCTTCTCCCCGTGGGTCTTGTCCCCCTTGATGTAGGTCTGGTGTGGGGAGAGTGTGGCCTTGATGACGTGGTTCTTGACGTTGTGGTCTGGCCCAGACACGCTGGTGATGTTCACCTTGGTGCTGGGCTTGGTCTCAGGTTTCTGTACCGTGTGGGTCTTGACCTCGACCTTGGTTTCAGCAGCTCTGGTCGTGCTGGCCACCTCCACATCTTCCTCCTCCTCCTCCGCCTCCTCCCCCAGTTTCTCCAGCTCCTCCATAGCATTGACGCTGTAGGGGTCGTTGTCCCCCTCGGCAGACTTGTAATCAGACTCCTCCATGATGACTAAATCATCCTCCCTGTCATCACTCCTCCCTCCCATCCCCTCCTGTATGTCTGGAACAGCGGAGGATCCGGAAGTCGAAACTGGAGGATGTGAATGAGGCGAGAAGTCATCTTCAACCGGAGTCTCCAAAATCTCCGGAACTTTCTCATTCATGAAAGGGTTGATTCTCCCAACGAGCTGAGGTTTGATGGGGTCACTGGGTACTTTGACGTCACTGTCGTCATCTAGAGTCTCGTCTGGATCTTCACCAAGTCTGTGTTGGTTCTCGTCGATGTCGTCACTGTCACCACTGTGGTCTCCGCTGGTCAACTTGGGGTGGTGGCGGGCGGGGTCAGAATTCTCTTCAATACTTTTGATGCTGGCGGAGTCTTCGGATGACAGGGTCAAGGTTGAGACAGCCTGGGATCCATATCCACTGGATGTCATGCTAGGGGTGTACCCTGGATGAGAGAACAAAGTTATAGCACAAAACAAACAATTTTGATAGAGCATCAACAGAATGCTGTTAGACAGTTGTTAAAAATTTATCTGAAAATATTTTTCTTAAAGTTTAAGGGCAATGGTGGCTGGGAATTCTGCAGAGAACACTATCTATTTATATGCAGAGGTTAGAAACAGATGAACTCTACTCCATCTACCCTAAGGTTCATCAGATCTGAAACAAGTGTTACATATAAGCAATATTTCACTCAAGTTGTCCACCTTTAGCGTGGGCATCCCCGATGCTGTCCCCTGTTGAAGACGGGCTCATGTTCATGGAGAGTTTTCCCCCCTGGGCCGTCTGCTGGGACTGGTATGACTCAAAGTCCTGGTACTCGTCACTGTCAATGCTGCGAGAGTCTGGCTCCTGGTCCAGTCGCCTGCGGGATGTGGGTTTGGGGGCGTCCTCTTCATCTATCTCCTGGCATGGGGATAACAAATAGTTCATCAAATCACAATGTAGCTAAGTTATGTTTTGTTTGATAAAGTGAGTATTTTAAGATCTTCTGGCATGGGGATAACAAATAGTTTATCAAATCACAATGTAGCTAAGTTATGTTTTGTTTGATAAAGTGAGTATTTTAAGTCTGCTTACAATGATTAACTAAGCAATATTTTTAAAATTTTAAATTTCATTTTATTTATTTTGACTCTAGCATAAGCATATTTTTAAGCTTTTTTCAATGCAAAGATAGTCTCTGTTTATATATTTTGTTAGCAAATTAAAAAAACCCACTTTGTCCTGACATTTATAAAATAGGTGCAAACTGACTTGCTAGTGACCTCCCCTGGTTCCTCACCTCATTTGTGTCCTTCTGCAGGAGTGGTCTACTCTGCTGCTCCTCCAGCAATGTCCTCATGGGCTTGACCAGAGCTTTGCCAGCAGACGACAGCGGACTCAGCAGAAGTTTGGGCGTTGCTAGAGTTGGGGGAACAGAACCAGGTTAGCAAACAACAACACATGCTGGGCTGGTGGCGTGAGATGGTGGGGTAAACCATCTAAAAATTGGGTCAGTGTGTGGGTGGGGATAAATAAACAAAAATGTGTTCATGTTTTTAATACAGGGAAAGTGTCTGTGCATATATTAATTAGTGAAAATTTGCAATTTAAATTAATGTTTAAAAACATCTATAGCATGCTCATCAATACATAAATAATCATTCTTGAAAAATACTTTTTACAAATCTACTTTTAGATCCTCACATTTTTTTTCAGCCCATACATTTTTGAAATAAAGAAAAACATTTAATTAAGGTTATAAAACTTTTCATATTAGTTTCATTACATCAGAGTATTTAATTTACTACTTTAATCAAAATTTGTTCTAAATTGTTAAATCCACAAGATAAAAAAAAATTGCAAATGAATTTTATCATGCATGTAGGCCTGCATGCAGGTACATCTTCTAGGCTGCAATGATTTATTTAGTGTAAAATAAGCAACAACAAACAACTCAGTGAGGATGAAACAAACATCTGTTTTTAAACTGCTAGAACTGAGCTAAACTTGGCCACCAGAACCTGTTCACACAACAGCATTAGGAAACATTGTAAAAAGTTTGACAACATGGAGGAAAATAAAAAAACAAAACTAACAAACAATGAAACAAACAATGATGCTATGTGACTATTAGAGCTGTCAGACCTATACAAATGGAGCTATTTTTTTTTTTCCATTCATGAGGCAAATGATTTGAAACTAAATCTTCCAAACTAATACAACACCACACATTTGGTTAGGACCAGGAGTAGTTAGTGAACTGAAACTAGAACATTCTTCAATCAATTTTCTATTCAAACATGACATCAACAGGTAATACAATCAAGTATGTTAAAAAACAAACTGAAATGACAACACCAGCTATGGACATTGGAGACATTCAATAAGCTTTTTTTTTCTCCAAGGGCAGATACTCTAATGAAAAAAATAAAGCCTTGCAAGGGCAAGCTACTCTAATGACAAAAAAAAAGACCCTGCAAGGGCAAGCTACTCTAAGGAAGAAAAAAAAATTCCACACACAAAGGAACGAAAAAAAATTTGAGAAAGATTTACGCTACCATAGTGCACAACAGAGCGCGAGAAAAATGAGGATGCGCAGCGGAAGGTGCCACTACCTGAACGTGAGAGTGGGAGGTTCAGAAAGCTGGGTCTAGCTGCAAGGAGGTACGGAAGCATGACATTCAGTATCAAATGGACAAGTGATTACAACTGATCAAATTAAAATCTCAGATTCCTGCACATATTGATTAACTTAGAATTTGACTAAAATTTTCCTTTAATAGGAATAATAAAAAACACTGATATGAAAAAGTAAAAAAATGTTTTTAATACTTATATTCATAAAGAAATTCTTTTTTAAAAAAAAAAAGTTATTTAAAATAAAAGTGACTGTTTTGTTAAAAAAAGTTTCACTAAATAATTTGAGAAATTATGAATAAATTTGATGGTAATTAAAAATAAATAGATCTGGTTAAGTGTGAAACTTCAATGAAATTTTAAAAATAATTTGCATAATGATGGCAGGAACCTCCAAACAAAGTGCGAAAATAAAAATTTGCACTGAGAACATATGGCAACTATGACAAGAAAACAGCCATAAACAAAAAGTGCGGGCGTAACAGACTAGGAAAATTGTGTGAGCTAACCAGTGGAACATTAATTGACATATAGTAGAACTAGTGCATTATGGGACATGGCAGAGCTAGTGCATCATGGGACATGGTGGAGCTAGTGCATTATGGGAGATGGTGGAGCTAGTGCATTATGGGAGATGGTGGAGCTAGTGCATTATGGGACATGGTGGAGCTAGTGCATTATGGGAGATGGTGGAGCTAGTGCATTATGGGAGATGGTGGAGCTAGTGCATTATGGGAGATGGTGGAGCTAGTGCATTATGGGACATGGTGGAGCTAGTGCATTATGGGAGATGGTGGAGCTAGTGCATTATGGGAGATGGTGGAGCTAGTGCATCATGGGACATGGTGGAGCTAGTGCATTATGGGAGATGGTGGAGCTAGTGCATTATGGGAGATGGTGGAGCTAGTGCATTATGGGAGATGGTGGAGCTAGTGCATTATGGGAGATGGTGGAGCTAGTGCATTATGGGACATGGCAAAGCTAGTGCATCATGGGACATGGCAGAGCTAGTGCATTATAGGACATGGAGCTAGTGCATCATGAGATGTGGTGGAGCTAGTGCATCATAGGACATGGTGGAGCTAGTGCATTATAGGACGTAGTGAAGCTAGTGCATTATAGGACATGGAGCTAGTGCATCATGAGATGTGGTGGAGCTAGTGCATCATGGGAGATGGTGGGGCTAGTGCATTATGGGACATGGTGGATCTAGTGCATTATGGGAGATGGTGGGGCTAGTGCATTAATGGACGTGGTGGCGCTAGTGCATTATGGGACATGGCAGATCTAATTTCATTAGCGTATAAAGGGCAAAAATTGTAATTTTGGGTGGGCAGATCTATTGAATTATGGGACATAAGTGGAACCTTTGCATTTTGAGACATAAAGGGGAACTAAAACATTCAGCTCCCGTAGTGACACATTGTAGGACAGGATAGATCTATCATCAAATAGGACATAAAACTTGCACTACATTTAATGTTACTTTATCTTAGGACAGATATTTCAGGTCACTTAAACTATTTTACATTAACTGTCATCTCTAATAACCACATAGCAATAAAACATAGATTTTTTAATTACAGTTTTAGTGCTGTAAACACACAAAAAAGGTGAATAAAAAGATTTGAAAGTTTAAAAACTTTCTATAGAAGAAGAAAATTGTTTAAAGTAGTACCAAATTTAGTCAAAAACAATTAACTACCAGCCTGGCAACACAGTTCAAACTGGCCAGGTAGTCACAGCCTTGACAAGATAAACTGGTCAACAAATACTAGCCCACACTTTCTCAACACAAACAATAATAGCAAGTTGCCAAAGAAGGACACAATACAATGACATATAATCCTGGTCACAATACAATGACATATAATCCTGGTCACAATACAATGACATATAATCCTGGTCAATTCAAGCAACAGGAGAACAGTTTATATTTTAATTTTAACTTGATTTTTTTTACTTCTTTTCAATTAGCTAAAATCAATAGAAAATTGAAAATCATGATGTAAAAAAAATTAAAATTAATAAACCATTGGATCCCACTGTATCTACACTGGAAAAAACTCCCAAATTGAAATATAAAAAAAAATAGGCTCGGAGCACACTTGGTCACATGACCAAATGAGGGAGATAACTCTAATAATTTTTTGTAAAGGTTTTGAACTGAATAGAGTCCTTGCAAACACGTGACCTAAATCACGTGATACCTACGCCCGCCGCCACAGTGGTGTACACCAGACGTAAACACAATCAGCTGTTCACCAGCGCTGGACGTGTTCACCGTATGTAAAGAATCGCGCCCGCGGAAAAGGAAAAATATGTTAAAAAACTTCAACTCTTAGGAATTGAAGATCCTTATACTGTTATTGACAGTTTCGTGGATAATATAAATATGTGGCCGAAATTTCTAAATAAAAATACTGTTAGTAATACCGTTTGCGTTTAGAGTTTAAGTAGACGAATCTGATCAAATGCAGTAATATATTATAGGTTATCTACTGTAGCAAACGTGAGACCGCTTAACTCCTACAAAACCCACACTACAACGACTAATATAATCCATGGGTAATAACCAATCTGGGTAGCATGTTATACAATTTAAGACCTTATAATCCAGCAGGGAAGTGATCAGACACATTAACACTGATGTTCAACCCTCATGATGGCTGCCCCCACCTGTATCTAGCCCACAATAAAACCAAAGAGGAGTCTGCCCTGCCCTCCCCTGAAAATGTCTCACCTCCCTGATACCCAGCCCCACAGAGATAGTATTTCTTATATAATTTTGACCCTCAGGGCCCAGCAGGGAGAACAAAGGGGAAAGTCCCACTGCTCTGCCCTCAACATTTCTCAGGATGTCATGTTATGTCATTTATAGCACACATGGCTTATCAGGGGAAAGTATTAAGAATCTTAACTCTGGACAGCTACACACTAGTATACTAGCTACACACTAGGTGCCTACTGTAAACTACTAGACTGTAGGCCCTATGTAGACCTGCAATTGTATCAATTGTAGACTGGGTCCATTGTTATTATTCTAAACCATCTCACTTATAATGTTTCTAGCTTGATTTGTTTCTTTTATAAACAGTGGATTTTAAAAAAAAATTAGCCTAATCATTAACCAAATAATGTGGTTATTTGTTGTTGGCTGGTATGATCTAGATTGTACTACTAGGCTACAAAAACTTAGTAGACCAATTACTAGATATGAATTTGAATTTAATTAAACTCAGTCCAGTATCAGATAGATCTACATATTGCTGTAAAAAGACAACAAAGTAGGTAGGCCTTATTAGTAATTTATTAAAGCCTTCTACTACAGTAATATCAGCTACATGCTTGTATAAAGTTTTTACAATTTAATTTAAGTAGCAGATTCTAGATCTAAGTCTAGTCATACAATCTATTTCAATTTCAGAAAATTTCGTTTGCTAAAAAAATGATTAGATTATAGAGCGAGATTTTAGATCTTAGAGACAATTAAATGCTTTATTATGCCTATTATGACTACTTTTGATTTATTATGGGTGTATTTTGAATCGAATGTAGATCTAAATTTTGTAATTAAATTTAAGTAAAGAAGTAGATTCTAGATTCTATGTATACCCAGCGGAGTCAGTCACCCTAAATCCAGAATCTAGATCTGTGGTCCGAATTTTGTTTACGCCATGTTTAGAGCTAGATTCTAGATCTAGATATTATTAAAACACTATTATTAGGCCTACTATTAGATCTTATTCTTCTTATTATTACTTTTGACTTTGTCTTTTATTAATAGTTATCTTTTATAATTAAAATGAAGTTTATTATTTTACTGTCCTTACCTGAAACAAAGTATCGAGAACTGCAATTGATCAGATTCGTCTACTTAAACTCTAAACGCAAACAGTATTACTAACAGTATTTTTATTTAGAAATTTTGGCCACATATTTATATTATCTACGAAACTGTCAATAACAGTATAAGGATCTTCAATTCCTAAGTGTTCAAGTTTTTTAACGTATTTTTCCTTTTCCGCGGGTGCGGTTCTTTACATACAGTGAACGCGTCCAGCGCTGGTGAACACGTCCAGCGCTGGTGAACAGCTGATTGTGTTTACGTCTGGTGTACACAACTGTGGCGGCGGACGTAGGTATCACGAATGGACGTGACGTCATATGAAAGGACTCTATTACAATAAATTAAAAATTAGGATTTCTGTGCTGAGGAATTGCAAGAAATATTTAATATAACATTTAAATATTGTCATTTCTTTTTATACAAAACCTAATAAAATTGATAACATTATTTTATTAGATACAACACATATGATAAAATGCAAGTAGGCAAAAAAGTTTAAAAATGTTTTCTAATCACAATATGATAAAAATTGTTAATTTTCTAACAATAAAGTTGATTAACTGAAGTTTACTAAAGGCTAATTGATAAATATATGATAAATGTTGACTGATGAATATAAAAATAAATGCTAGTTGAATAATATATAATCAATACTGCATTGATGAATATATGATCAAACTTTAATACCAATGACTAGTATGAGCTTTGGAATGAAATTATTTAAATGTGGACTAGAAACTGAATGCATATATTACATTTTTCAAAATCTAATGATAAAAAAACAAATATTGAGTAGGTCAACATAAGTTTTACAGTATATATTATATGAAAAATAAAAAGGTAAATATTACAAAAGAATACTTATATTTACTAAACAAAATATATTTATATTAAAACATGAATTAATTAGACTATATAAAGTTATTACAACATTATTTACAATGAATTAACTTTTTTGATGTATGTAAATAATTATCTGAAAAGTTAAGCCACTTTTAATTTTTTTTTTACAGTTGATTTTAATACCATTTATTGTCCATATATTGTCAAGAAATGTTATTATTAAATCTTACAGTCGCTTAACTTAAGATAATGTGTTAAATTAATTGTAAGATACTAATCTATGATATTAACTCTGAGACAATATCAAAAAGCTTGGCACAGGTGAAAATGGCATTTTGACAAAGCAGCGCATTAAATTTCTGACCAAAACTGGTCATTGCTAATTTTTTGTCACAACACAAAGATTTAATTGGAGACTGAAAAAAGATTGTGTCCACTGGGCTAACCTAAGTCACAGACTACACAGTTTTTTAGTTTCTTAATATCAAGCTATTGTAGAATCTTTAATTATTCTAAACATTTTAAAAAAAAATTCACCAAGAAATAATTGGGTTTAAAACTAATTTTTAAAAAATAACACAAAAAAGAGAGCTGAAATTAAAGAAAATGAAGCAAGTCAGAAGCCTGATGCAAGGCAAAAGCATGACCTAAAAATAAAATAAAAGACCCTGGAAATTGAAAGATAGAAATTTCATAGGTAGCAGAAAGCAGGAAATAAGAATGTGTCAGCTCATATGTTGAGAGGTTGTGACAGTTAACAACACCCTTCAACAGAGTAATTCTTACAGACCATTTATATACCTAAATTAAGAGATTCCCCTAAAATCAGATCATTCCAGAATCAACACAAAGAAATTCCCCATAAAAAAACCCAGACTATTTCAGAATCAATAGAAAGGAATTCCCCTCAAAACCAGACAGTTCCAGGATGGACATAAAGAACCTCCCTTAAATTCTTCAATTCCAGAATCAACATCAAGTAATTCCCACTATAACTAAACTTTTCCAGAATGAGCATAACCCCCCCCCCCCCCCCCCAGGACAAGGAATCAACATTATATAATTGCCCCTATAACCAGACCATTCATGAATGTACCAGTGCAAAGGGAGACAAGAGGATCAAGCAGAGTTGTGTTAGTGGTCATTCCAACAGCCCTCGGCTGTTTGTGGAAGTAGAAAAAATAAAAGTCAAAGTGACCTACCATTTTGCCATACACTCTTGATATACCCTTCAAAATAAAATTAAAACAAGCCAAATTGATTAAAAATTAACAATCATGCCTAAGACCCTATTCTTGATATGGAAAAAAAAAATGCAGAACATAAAAATTGCTTTGGATGTTGGATTTAAAAACAAAAGAAATATAAGCTAAAAAATAACGAAAAAAAAAATGGCTTAAAATTTAAGTTCTTAGATAAAAAATAAAATTGTTCTTTGTTGCTATCATATAGAAGAAATTAAAAAAAAAAACGGAAACTTCTGAACTATAAATAAAGCATGAAAACAACAAATTAACATTAAAAGCACTAAGCCAGATTGAAACATTACTACTTTTGGCTATAATAAAAAAAAAAAAAATCAGCTTTGTTTTCCTAGGCAAGGAAAAATCTTAAATCCAAGACCAATCCTATTTTAATGTACTTTAGGCTAAGGAAACTTTTAGAATGCTTAGACTAACCTGCTAATTTAGAGGGTTAAAAAATATTTTCATTATTTCTAAAATAGAAATTACCAAAAAGCTATAAACCTGCCTACAAAATTTTACCAACTGTTCAAAGAAACTTCTGCGCAGACCAACTGAAAGTAAAAGCTAACAACAACAATAGCTCATCTAATACACCAATGTATGACTGACACAGCTACACATGACAGAGAAGCCCAGTGATCACAATATCAAGTAACACACCTAGTCCGAAGGAATGGCGCTTTTGCTGGGATGCCACTTTCGCCAGGGCAGCAAACGATTCGTCTGCCTCCGAGTTGGTTCGTAGTCTGAATAGCTCACCGGGGAAACTGGGGGATCTGGTGGTGGTGTTGTATAGGTTGCCTTCGTTCAGGGACTGCGACAGGTCCTGGATGCTGTCTGCTCGGAACTGAAGAAAAATTTTTTTTAATAAAGGATGAACGCTGGGTAAAATAAGAGATTATTTTTATGCAAGTCGGCAAAACTTGTTAATAAGAAAAAGACAACAATTAAACAATTGCAAATATAGCACACATTTTGAAAGAGTAGGCCAATAAGCTATTTGTATTGAAACATTTATAAGCTAAAAATGTGTAATTTTACTGGAAAAAAAAGAAAAAATGTCAATGTAAAAAGTAACTTGATAGGCCTATAAGTGGGTTGGAACCTTTATAAAAAATAAAGTTTTAGCTTTTAAATTTATTTTATTAAGCTGGGGTCCTTTCACCAAGGTTTGAGTTATTTGGCTATTTCAAGATATTCTAAAGGAAGTTGAGGGATTAGTACAACAGGTTTTGGTATTTTAGATATTTCAAATTATGTATTCATTCAAGTACATAGTTGTAGTTATAAAAAGAATGTATTAAAACTAACATTTAAACTTTTGTTTTTTACATTTTGAAATGGAAACTTTACAGTTACCACACATTTATTTCAGATGGTGGTTTACAGTAAAACATGTTAAAGTGATATGCATACTAATCATCACAGATAGTTCTATTGGGACTAGGCAACACTAAATGATCTACAGTTTATAGAGCCTTACATATAATAGCCTTAATAACAAGGGTAAGCTTCCTGTAATATATCCGAATCCCAACTCTATGAACAATGGCTTAACTATTGCTACATACACAATCATAAGCCTTTACCAGCACAATAATACTCAATAATATTTAAAGGGTTTATTTCTAATGGCAGAATGTGTAAACAAAACCAGCTTTAAAGGTTATATTTACAATTTAACAGAAGCATTTTACACAGGGTAAATTATAAATATTTTAATAAAAGGAACAAAACAAATCTAAACCTCAGTAAAAAATAACAGCTATATAAAAACACAGAAGAAATGGCAGGAAACAAATGTGAGTACTTACATGGTAGCTAAGTTTGCTAGGGGAGTAGGCTGCCTGTGAAATGGGAACACACACAGAGATAGACAAATTAGCCATGCAGAGCTACATGTCAGCATTCAATACAGCCCCATACTAGCATGCACTAAACAATCTTCAATCAACGTACAGAAAATACTCAATCATTGTTTTTTTTCATCTCATTTGTTTTCAATTTCCTTGCACAATGTTATTTCAGTAGATCAGTGTAGCCAAAATAAAAATTAATTCCCTTCAAAAAATTGTATTTCTGTACATTGAAAGCAGAACAGTAAAATAATTACATTGTAAATAATAAAAAACAAATATAGTTGGGCATCAAGCTAACGATGTTATAAAATACTAAACTTAATTAAACTTCTGGTATTAACAAACATGCATTCCATTAATTATCAAAAATAGGATCAAACAGTCTTATTAAAATAATAATTATTCATCTTTCTTTGTGACACACATTTGTAAGCTTATAATGTAAAATGCAATATTTTAAATTTATATCTGAAAACTGATCAATACAGATTTAAAGTGACAACTTGCTGTATTACTGACCCAGCAGGGAAAAAAAAATTATGTCTTCTTCAACTGGGCAGAATTTTTTTAAGCTAGATTATTTTGTTTTTTGTTTCACAAAAAAGTAAAAATAAAATTAAAGAAAAAAAAAAAAAAAGAAGCCATCTTTTCAAGAGCTCCACACCTTAAAAAAAAAAGGAAGCCATACCACCATTTAACATATTGATGAACTGAAGGAAATTTCTTATCACCAAAAACTAGCCTGCACCAAATGTTTCAAAGAAAGTTAATTGGGTGAACATCTTGAAAACTAGGACGGTGCTCAGGAGCAAATATGAGAAATTTTTTTTGAACAAAGTTAAAGAAAATTATCTCACAAAACAACAAAAACTGGCAGGGTTTAAAAAAAATCTACGAGAAAATTTCTGAAGCTTGAACAGCATAGCTGTTATAAATATAAAAGTTCTTCATCTACATATATACATAAACATACAGTTTTTTTTTTGCTGTTACAAGCAAGGAACTAGCAATTAGCAGCAAAACATGGAGATGTCTTTGCCTAATTAGCATTTATTTTTTTCTATTCTCAGGACAAGATTAGAGAAAAAATGGAAATAAATACAAACACCCACACACACAGAATACACACACGCGCGCACACACGGAGAAAGTGATCAAACCTGGTTGATGTTGGGGACACTGGTTGTCTTCCTCAGGTTGGAGGCCAGGCGGCCAGAGTTGGCCAACATTTCCTTCACAGCAACCTCCTGTGGGACATACAAACAGATAGCAATGTACATGGTTCTACAAGGTAACAATGGATTGCTCATTGAGCTAGTATATGGTTCTAGAAGGTAACAATGGATTAAAGAGAAAACTACATGGTATTAGATAAGTGGTTCTAACTTCAGAGACTGAGGGGTGGATAAATGTTGTGCTGGCTAAATATTTACAACCTACTTATATTACAAGTTGTAACTGATATAAAACCTGCTTAAAGTACATGATGTAAGGGATATAAATCCTGCTTAAATTACAACCTGTAACTGATATAAAAACCTGCTTAAATTACGTTCTGTAAGTGATATAAAACCTGTTTAAATTACAACCTGTAACTGATCTAAAACCTGCTTAAATTACGAGCTGTAAGTGATATAAAACCTGCTTAAATTACAACCTGTAAGTGTTATAAGACCTGCTAATGTTATTGGATATAACCTACCTGTCTGAGCCTGTCCAGGGTCAAGATACTCTCCACAGCTGACACACCTTTGATGTATTTCTCGATGTACGTCTCCCCGTCCACGGCAGACACCTCGTTCTGTGACGCGGCCATCTGGGCCAAGGTCTCCATGTCTTCTAGGTCCTCAGAGCCCTACAATAGACAGGTCATTCAGTTAGGTCACTCACTCAGTGAGGTCACTCACTCAGTGAGGTCATTCAGTTAGGTCACTCACTCAATTAGGTCATGTGGCCAGAAATGTCACTTACTTGGTTAGATCACTCACTTGCTTAGGTCATTCACTCAGTTACATCACGCACTCAGTGATTCTAAAACTTTACCTTCATGTACCCTAACTTTAATTCCTTCTAATTACACCAAAATACATACACCACACTTATTTAGTGATTTTAAATATCTTCTAGTACCCAAACATAATTTTGTTCCAGACAAAATAATATTCATTTTACTAACTTGAATATTTATTTTACTGTAAAATTTCAAATCTCCTCATATTAAGCAACAGTTAAAATCTGACTAAGACATTGTAACATTCTAGTTTTTCAATAAAAGAGCTACATTACTTTAGGGGATAATATGTCTTCAGATGGGTAAAATAACAAAAGATCACTTAAAAAACCAACCACATATTTATTGAATCACTGAATGAGTTTTAAAATTTGTTGCCTCTAAAGGAGTAAACAAAGATCAAAAACCCACCTTGGGCATGTTAGAAACAACTTCATAAGTCACACCACTAGCAGCCAGACAATCCTGGAGATAAAAAAATTAAGTCAGAAATCTCATCAAGCTAATCAGATGCTGTGAATGTTTATAAGTCAGAAATCTCATCAAGCTAATTAGATGCTGTGAATGTTTATAAGTCAGAAATCTCATCAAGCTAATTAGATGCTGTGAATGTTTATAAGTCAGAAATCTCATCAAGCTAATTAGATGCTGTAAATGTTTATAAGTCAGAAATCTCGTCATGCTAATTAGATGCTGTGAATGTTTATAAGTCAGAATTCTCGTCAAGCTAATTAGATGCTGTAAATGTTTATAAGTCAGAAATCTCGTCAAGTTAATTAGATGCTGTGAATGTTTATAAGTCAGAAATCTCGTCAAGCTAATTAGATGCTGTAAATGTTTATAAGTCAGAAATCTCGTCAAGCTAATTAGATGCTGTGAATGTTTATAAGTCAGAAATCTTGTCAAGCTAATCAGATGCTGTGAATGTTTATTTAACTGTTAAGTTTAGCCAAACTCTACTGACCGTGCCCACGATCCTGTTCTTCAGCATGTTAGTGAAGGAGGTCAGCCCTTGTTTCTTGTAGATGTTGATACAGATCCTCTTGCGTAGGACCAGCTCAATGGTGGCCGGGTGGCTCAGTCGCACGACAGCCTTGAGGATCATGTACACGCGCTCGTTGGCAGGTGTGATGCGATTCAGGTGCACAGAGTCGTGGAGAGACGAGTCCCACGACGCAAATGCACACACCTGTAATTAGGATTTGATTGAGTTAATTAAGTGTCTGATAAGCCAATAACTAATTAAAAGAATTTTATTATGATCAAGAAATTTATTAGATATAAAAAGCTTTTTATATTATAATCAAACAAATTGATTGTAAGCAATTAATGAATGGATTATTATATTTTTTGTACTATCAAGATAAAGTATAAAAGTATGCATGAAAATTGAAATTTAAAATTATTTTAGCTTCACTGTTTAATATTTGAAATTAAATAAAAATGAAACACTATTTAGCTTTTAAAATTTTTAATTCAGCCAATTCTAATTCAAGAATACACTATACACTAAACTGAGGTCATAGAAACAGCTGAACTCTAATTCACTTGCCTCTTGGATCCTCAGGTTCGAAAGGCAACTTAACTAATTCAATAAGTGTTTGTACATGTCTTTGTAAATAGTACATTCTCAGCTTGTCTATAGAACTACACAGACCTGTCTGCGTTTCTTATTGTTTGCCTATATGCCAATAGTCTACAGTGTTTACAGACAGTACTTCTCTTGTCTGTCTACAGTACTTTGCTGGCCTGTCTACAGTACTTGTGCTGTCTGTGTACTAGCCTGTGTACCAGTGCTGACTGCCCGTACACTACTTACATTGTCCTTCTCTGTGTACCAGTGCTGACTGCCCGTACACTACTTACATTGTCCTTCTCTGTGTACCAGTGCTGACTGCCCGTACACTACTTACATTGTCCTTCTCTGTGTACCAGTGCTGACTGCCCGTACACTACTTACATTGTCCTTCTCTGTGTACCAGTGCTGACTGCCCGTACACTACTTACATTGTCCTTCTCTGTGTACCAGTGCTGACTGCCAGTACACTACTTACATTGTCCTTCTCAGTGTAGCTCTTGATGATGGGCAGCTGGACGTAGTCGGTGCTGTGTTCCTTGGGGAGGATGGAGTTGATACCCACAGCCTGCAGACCTTCTTTAGCATTGGGGGCGCTCATGTCATCAGCTGGACATTAAACAAACTTTCATGTTAACATATAGGATAAAACCAATAGGAAAATATAAATTCTAATGACATACAACAAACGTAAGTGAATGGAGTCAGGACTGATGACATACAACAAACAATGGAGTCAGTAACTGATGATATACAACAAACAAGCAAGTGGAACCAGGAACTGACCATTGAGATCCAGGAAAAGAACTGGTGTGTGTTCCTCTAGGTTGGGTGGTGGGGTCCTGTTAAACATCAAGGTCAATCATTATAATTTGTTTAATTAGCTAATCAATTACCAGCTGCTTAAAGAAGACTAATCAGAACTTAAACAAACTTGACTAAACCAAACATTATTTAAAAAAAACAACACCTGAAATCAACTGTACCTATGATTAACCTAACTAACCCCAACAAAACCAATCCTAACCAACTCTAAAGCCATCTTCACTACAACTCACCAGTCAGCTGGGGCCCCTGGGATATTGCTGCCAGGGGAGGGAACTAGCACAGCATTTCTCTCCTCAGTCAGACACACCCACTGTTCAATCAGAGCTCTCTCCCTTTCAGAGTCCGCCTCAGATTTGTCTGAAGTAAAAACAAACTTGTCAATAAAGTGTTTGGTTATGCTGTTAATTAGGTGTTTGGTTATGCTGTTAATTAGGTTTTTGGTTATACTGTTAATAAGGTGTTTGATAATACTGTCAGTAAGGTGTTTGGTTATACTGTTAATAAGGTGTTTGGTTATACTGTTAATAAGGTGTTTGATAATACTGTCAGTAAAGTGTTTGGTTATGCTGTTAATTAGGTTTTTGATAATACTGTCAGTAAGGTGTTTGATAATACTGTCAGTAAGGTGTTTGGTTATACTGTTAATAAGGTGTTTGGTTATACTGTTAATAAGGTGTTTGGTTATACTGTTAATAAGGTGTTTGGTTATACTGTTAATAAGGTGTTTGATAATACTGTTAATAAAGTGTTTGGTTATACTGTTAATAAGGTGTTTGGTTATACTGTTAATAAGGTGTTTGGTTATACTGTTAATAAGGTGTTTGGTTATACTGTTAATAAGGTGTTTGGTTATACTGTTAATAAGGTGTTTGATAATACTGTTAATAAGATCACTGGTTAAATAGCATAGATATTATTTAAATTTACTCATAAGCATGAAGGAAAAACAATTATCTCATAGATGAGGTATAACAAACTTGTTTTAAGTTAACAATGGGAAATAACACAGGCATTATTGGCAATAGCTTCAACATTACTTTATTAACTAGGGGGAATTATATTGACATTATTTATTTAACTAGGGGGAATTATATCGACATTTATTTAACTAGGGGGAATTATAATTATATCGACATTATTTATTTAACTAGGGGGAATTATATCGACATTATTTATTTAACTAGGGGGAATTATAATTATATCGACATTATTTATTTAACTAGGGGGAATTACATCAACATTATTTAACTAGGGAGAATAACATCAACTTTATTTATTTAACTAGGGGGAATTATATCGACATTATTTATTAACTAGGGGTAATTACACCAATCTCATTTATTAACAAATGGGCAATAACATCAACAGTATTTAATTAACAAGGGGGAATAAGACTAACCATTCTCTAACTAGGGGAAATAATTTAATGTCACCTATCTAGAAGAATAACTGTACCTTAAGTTAAAGTCAGGGCACTAACAATAGACTTAGTTTAAAGTGAGGGAGCCCCACTGACCTTGCTTGTTGATCAACTTTTGAATTTGTTCGTCCAGATACTTTTTGCGCCTGGCCAAAGCTTTTGACCAGTGGTCTCTCAGGACAGTCAGGTCCTCCTCCTGGTAGGAGTCCAGCCCCTTCTGGAGGCGGGACCTGACGCAGACGCAGCCAATGGCAAGAGAGGAGATGGACTCACAGATGAGGGGGAGGGTACCAGAGTTGGCCACTGGCCGCACTCTGACCAGGACCCTTCTAGAGTGGCCCTGTCAATGTTAGATAAATGTGACTGTTAATGTTTTGGTCAACTATAGCTGTAAACATATCTAATGATGTGCAATATGTTTAACATTTCTAATGTTCTATTTCACGCAAATATTTGATTTAACAACTTGCTCTTCTGGTATAGAGGTTGACTCTCTGAGATGACAAAAATTATCTGTCTGCACTTTTTTCTAGGTTGGCTGCACGTAGTTTCTGTCTGAACGGCACTATTTATCTGTCTGAGCTACACTATTTAACTGAGTTGCACAATTGACTTATGCTAGCTGCACTATTTAACTGAGTTGCACAATTTACCAATTTTAGCAGCACTATTTAACTGAGTTGCACAATTTACCTATGCTAGCTGCACTATTTAACTGAGTTGCACAATTTACCTATGTTAGCTGCACTATTTAACTGAGTTGCACAATTTACCTATGTTAGTTGCACAATTTACCTATGCTTGCCGCACTATTTACCTGTCGGAGCTGCATGACGCCAGCACATGGAACATCAGGTTTTGGTGTCACCTCCACGGCTGTGTAGTCCCCTTGATCATTCAGCTCGTGGATCTCTGCCCAGAATTCAATCTTCCTCATCACCTCATTCCACCTGCACAAACCACAGCCACATTAGGGGATGTGTACGTGTGGATGTGCACATATGTATTTGTACATGTGTATCTGTACAGCTTTTTTCCATTACTTCACACTTGTTAATTTGTATGCGTGCAAATAAATGTAACTTTCCCCCCACTTCAGACATATATTTGCATGTGTGTTGTGTACATGAGAATCCAGAAGGATACCTAACTTATATGTAAGTGTTAAGCTTTGTATTCCTCACTCCAGAAACATTTTAATTTTATACATTTTGTAGCACAAAATTGTGTACAATTCAGTTTTTTAAAATTAGCTTTCATTGCTTTCCCATTCTTCTTTTATTTATACATTTCAGTCCTTTAATTAATTAAGTACAGCAAGTAAATACATATGACCAAGGATCTTTTTAAAACTTCATCGCATTAATAAAGCTGTTATAGCCAGTGGCATGTATTATTACCCACAAGAGGGAGATAACTATAAAGCAGCAAGGGGGATAATAAATAAAATAAATCAAGGAAAATTAAAGAAACAAAAGAGATTATAGAAAAAGACAGGTAAGGGAGAGAATAAAGAAATAGATGGACCCACCGGTCAGCAACAGAGCGGGACTTGGCTTGTGCTGAGTCGCTCATCACAACATCTTTACCAAAGCCCTGACTGCGATGGCCCCACACCTCAATAGAGAGGGCACCATCAGCACAGTGTTCAATAAACTCTTCTGTGATGGGTACTCGGATCAGCTGAGATCAAAACACACAATTAATCATTACGATATGCTTAGGACATTTCGTTTAACTTGGCATTTTTTTTAATAAAAGATTTTTTGTTTTTATTTATGGAGCTAATTCAACTTGTAATTAATAATTTAATATCATATAGATGACACTGACTACAAAATATGCTAGTGTCTAGAAAATGGATAAACTGTACTTCATCTGCCTTATGGACTTTGTTCAGTACTTGTAGTTGTGGCCAAACGTTCATACTATAGGGCAAAGTGCAGACCATACTGCCCAATGATATGTTAAGTCAAAGAAACAAACTACTTTAGTCAGCAAAATAGACTTCTAAAGTTCAACTGTAGGAAACAATTTGGTCCTTGTATTCCTCCAAAGCCTAAAACCTTTAAGCTTGAATTAGAACATTTTTTCTAACAAAGACAGCAGAACGTCAGCACTAACCCTCTCATGGTTGAAGTCAAAGTTGACTGTTCTGTCATCCTTCCTGGTCACAGTTTCAGGGTTGATGTAAGGGGGGACGACACAGGCCTCAGACTCCCCCCAGAAGGAGTACTGGCAGAAGACAAAGTTGGACAGCGCCAGGGGTAGGCCCCGGGCCTCTTTGATGCACACCTGAAACATTGCACTCTCATTACACTCACACCTGTAACATTGCACTCTCATTACACTCACACCTGAAACATTGCACTCTCATTACACTCACACCTGTAACATTGCACTCTCATTACACTCACACCTGTAACATTGCACTCTCATTACACTCACACCTGAAACATTGCACTCTCATTACACTCACACCTGTAACATTGCACTCTCATTACACTCACACCTGTAACATTGCACTCTCATTACACTCACACCTGAAACATTGCACTCTCATTACACTCACACCTGTAACATTGCACTCTCATTACACTGACATTTTAGTCAAATTTAGCATGTGAATAAATCAACTTTTTATGACTGAAATAAATATTTTGTTGGCCTATAAATGCACACTATAGAAAACATGACAACAGAATTTGTTGTGAGTTCCTGCATAATAAAATAAAGTTTCACATAAACTGTTGTGACCTTAATGTCCATTTTAAATATTCATTAAAATATTGTGTGCCAAATTAGATATTTGTAATAAAAAATAATGTTTTTTTTTGTAGAGGTTTTATTCTAAGTAAAATTAAAAAAAAAAAATATGTTGGTAACTGTGAACCAAGAATTCTAAACATGATACACTTATAATTTAAAAATGAATTAAAATTATATTTGACCTAAAATGTCCAATTAATTAAGGTAGAAATTGAGGAAGTATGAGTTACCTTAATGAGCAGTGGAGCTCCCATAGGGACAGTGTTGTCCTCATCATTATCAGCAGCCATGTCCACGTAGCGGTCAAGCACAGCTCCACCTAACTTGGAGATCTCTATATGAAGTTTACCAGCAACCTGGGGACACATTGGGGTCAATTCAAGTTTACAACTCATTTAAAAAAACTTTAACATAAGACATTGTTTGGCTATAAAACTTAAAAACATTGGGAAATCAATTTAAAAACTAATTCTGAAATAATATCATAACTGGACCAAAGACATCTAAATATAAGAACAGCACTTTACTGAACTAAAAAAAAGCACTTTAAAATTCCTGTTGCTTTTTGTAGTAATATAATCGGAGAAACTCATTTATATAGTAATCTGTTCTGTGTGTAATTTAATACATGTGGTTGTAAAATAAGAAATTAATCTTATTCAACTTTGGTTGTTTTTATAAAAAAAAAAAATTAATTCCATGATTGAAAGCAAATAGAAAAATACTGCGATGGAACAACCAAGGGAAGTAAGAGAGTAAAAGACAAAAATGTGAGAGTTGAGTGAATGACGGCACTGACCTCCCCTTGTTGGCTGATGATGGGCACGTGATAGTCCAGCTTGACGTCATGGAACAGACACTCCAGGAAGATGTTGGCCACACCGATCAGGTTGTGGTTCTCCTGCGACTCATAGAATGGGTCGCCCAGCATAGGTGGCCCAATGTCCTGGTGACACAGAGGTCAACAATCATTGGATGAACAACATCACACTAACTATAAACAAACTATAAACATAAGGTAGCAGTTGCCCTTACTTAAATTAGCCTTGGCATCTCTGTTTATATTTGAATTACTTTTAGATTACTTTATAATAAAAAACAATCTCCATATAAAAATATATAACATTTTTGAGTAGATCTTGTTTCATTAACATTTTTAAAAATTCATTTGATTTATGAGAAATGAGGAAGCCCTAGAAATATAATTATTAACCTAAAAAAACTTTTATCTTTAAAATCCTCCACAACAAAAAAAGCTCTCTTCTACTGACATTCAAAAAAACACAACACAACTAAACATCAATAGTGAATTTTACAATGAAACATTACAAGATCCAACCCTAGCACAATCTTACAATCCTCATCTAATGCATTGGTAGAGTAGCCTACAAAATAGGTGCCTAATGGTGTATTAAAAACTCAAACAAGGAACCTTATCAGCTGATAGGACAGGTTCATTCCTAGCTGCTGCTGAATGAAAAGTAAACTACAGTGTAATGTACACATTGTATCCATTCATCACATATATTGACAGGTGTAAATTATTTCTTTAGAAAACTTTACCAACAAGTTATTTATTAAGAAAAAAATCATGAATAAGGCAAGTAGAAATTAAACAAATAAACAAGAACACTGTCTACAGTTTAAAAATTTAGACAACATCAAGATCGAAAAAAACCTGGCTATATACTGTGCAGATATAAACAAACTTAAATAACTGAACACTGTAATACTTAGCAAACTTACTACAAAGATAATTTTATAAGTTTAGATTAATGTGTAGGGGGGGGGGTGGAAGCAGGCGTTGTAACTGAAATAGCAATATTAACAGAGAGTGATATGGCGTTGAAATATCACTCTCTGTTAATATTGCTAAGTTTAGATTAATAAACAGTAAATTTAACTTTAAATTGTGATCTGGATTTGAATATTAAAAAAAAATTATTCACTGTTTTTAACCACTGTATTCTGATTGTAAGAGATTTCTCAAAATGTAAAACTATTTAAAATGAATGTTTAAAAAATCCAACAAAAAAGAAAGCATACTTTACAGTCTGTGAAAAAATAAAAACACAGCTTTGACTAAACACCAACACAATATCTAATTTGAAAATACTGAGTTACCTTAGTTGTTTATTCAAAAATAATTCATTAAATGTAACAAAACTGAAATATTTGAAATATAGAAACTACTAAATTTGTAATCTTTGAAAAATCTGTTGAAGCCATCTTAAAAATCCTTTCTTTCTAGATGTCAACAAATAGAGGCTCACTTATATATTTTCTTAAATTATCTTTAAAGCTAGCATATAATATGATATGATAATATAATTATTATAAATACATTATCTTTATTTTATCAAAATGAGAATAGTATTTTTTAAAATCTTAAATACTGTAATCATTGAAAGATTTATTTTTAATTAATTCAGTTGAGGAGGAGATTTGCAATGCCAGTTATTAAAGGATGAATCTTTGGGTGTTAACATTTTTATTAAAGGATGCATTTTTGGGTGTTAACATTTTTATTAAAGGATGCATCTTTGGGTGTTACCATTTTTATTAAAGGATGCATCTTTGAGTGTTAACATTTTTTAAATTAAAGGATGCATCTTTAAAGGATGCATCTTTGAGTGTTAACATTTTTTAAATTAAAGGATGCATCTTTAAAGGATGCATCTTTGAGTGTTAACATTTTTACTATTACAAAAATCCAAATTTTGTGTGTGTCCTCCACACTGCAGACCCCTCCTCACCTGCCAGCCTAAGCATTTGAAGCAGAACAAACATGCAAACACAAACCCCAGCAATGACAGAGCTGTCTAAATCTTCAGTGAAAGATTCCTCTACCATCATGGGCCCCCCGCTGGCCTTGCGGTCGTTGTACATGTCCCTCATATCAATGACCTTGTTCTCCAACTTCTCCAGGGACCAGATCTGACTGCTGCGGTTCTTCCTCTTCACCAGAATGGCTGGCTCACTCACAAACGCTCCACGCTGGGGGGAGACGGACAACAGTGGTCAAGTTGGTTTGGTTTGACACAACATGCACACAAACCTAAGATTGGGTTACTGACTATAATCATGATGAATGAAAAGGCTGATGACTTTGTTGATAGAGGTATATAATTTTTGATGGACAAAATTTGTGAAGGGTAAAATTTTTAGCAGGTGAAAATTAAAGGGGGATTTTTGTTAAGGAGAAAATTTTCGGTTGATGAAAGTTATGGGGTATAAAATTTAATTAGACTTGTGATTGATGCAAGTGATTTGCGACAATAAAAAAAAAGGGAAATCGTCAACTATACAAGGTTTGCAATTTATGGATTGAACAAAATTTGAAGAAAGTTTTGGACAGACTGTTAGATGTTTCCTGTAGCTCTATAATGAACACAAATTAAACAAAAAAAAACTAGAATAAAATGAACTGAATCAATTTGTTCAAAACATCAAGACATCAAAGAGTTAAGCATATACAGACACTAGTTTCTATTAAAATAGTTTTTTTTTTCTCAAAAATGTTTTTAAAAAAAATCCATTATTCATGACAGCTTAACTACAAGGTAAGGAGAGATCATCTGAATAAACTTGGTGCTAATTGATCAAAAGCTTACCAGATATTATTGATCAGAAGCTTAGCAGATGATATTGGTCAGAAATGAGCAAAGCATTATAGACCAGAGCAAAATTATTTCTATGATGTGATGGATTACAGCTTATAATGACAAGACTGGCTTATGGTTTTTTGACTGACTAAAGGATCAATGATGTGACTGACTAAATGTTTCCATGACAGACTAAATGTTCCCATGACTGACTAAATGTTCCCATGACTGACTAAATGCTCCCATGACTGACTAAATATTGCCATGACTGACTAAATGTTGCCATGACAGACTAAATGTTGCCATGACAGACTAAATGTTGCCATGACTGACTAAAGGTTCCCATGACTGACTAAATGTTCCCATGACTGACTAAATGTTCCCATGACTGACTAAATGTTCCCATGACTGACTAAATGTTCCCATGACTGACTAAATGTTCCCATGACTGACTAAATGTTCCCATGACTGACTAAATGTTCCCATGACTGACTAAATGTTCCTATGACTGACTAAATGTTCCCATGACTGACTAAATGTTCCCATGACTGACTAAATGTTGCCATGACTGACTAAATGTTGCCATGACTGACTAAATGTTCCCATGACTGACTAAATATTGCCATTACTGACTAAATATTGCCATGACTGACTAAATGTTGCCATGACTGACTAAATGTTGCCATGACTAACTAAATGTTCAAATGACTGAATAAATGTTCCCAAGACTGACTAAATGTTCCCAAGACTCACCCGTCTGTTTGGACTGAGGTTGGTGGCGGGGATCTGCAGGGTCACATGGAACTCTGTCAGCTTGCCCATCTCCTGGGCCAGGATGTTGGCCTCCCTGACCAGGGCGTTGGCCTTGACCACCTCCTCCCTCAGCTTGACCAGGCTTTGTTTGAACATCATCTCCCTGTCATCATCAACACAAGTCACATTAACATCTTTGTTTAACATCATGATGTGATCATCAACACAAGTCACATTAACATCTTTGTTTAACATCATGATGTCATCATCAACACAAGTCACATTAACCTTCTTGTTTAACATCATGATGTCATTATCAACACAACATTCCCCTATAACATCCTTGTTGAACATAACATGGCCATCAACAGAACAACCCTAACACACATCTTGGTTTAACATCATCTAGTTATCAACCCAACAATCTATGTGAACATCCCTGTTGAACATAGACAATGAACTGCACCAAAACATGAAGGTATAGGGCACATGTGTTTACTGTTATAAGTAGAACCAGCTGTGTACTGGGCAGGGAAATTAATCTTGGTGGTTGTTATCTGATCTTATGGTGATAAAAACTTGACACTCTCTGGTGTAGGGCTTCTCAAACTAGGGAGGTTACAGGGGTCATGTGGGGCTACAGGGGTCATGTGGGGCTACAGGGGTCATGTGGGGCTACAGGGGATCTCAAACTAGGGAGGTTACAGGGGTTCTCAAACTGGGAGGCTACAGGGGTTCTCAAACTGGGAGGCTACAGGGGATCTCAAACTAGGGAGGTTACAGGGGTTCTCAAACTGGGAGGCTACAGGGGTTCTCAAACTGGGAGGCTACAGGGGATCTCAAACTAGAGAGGTTACAGGGGTTCTCAAACTGGGAGGCTAAAGGGGTTCTCAAACTGGGAGGTTACAGGGGATCTCAAACTGGGAGGCTACAGGGGTTCTTAAACTAGGGAGGCTACAGGGATCATGTGGGGCTACAGCCTGACTGAAAGAACTGCATTATGAGTCACAAATTACAGCGTAAAACCCTAGATCTCAAACTTGTAACAAGCAACAAAAAAGCAATTACATAAACCTCTTTTTTTTAAACTTGTAAAAGAAAAAAGAGCTCTTTTCAATGACTAGAGTAAAGACAAACACAATCTGACAGAGGACATTCATCATAACAATAACACTGCACAGACCATGAGAGAAATCAATAGAATGTAATTAAATGTCTTTGTTTGTGTAATCTAGTAAGTGTAATCTGGCAAGGGAGAGAACAAGGTGGAGAAATTTGAAATAAAAAACAAAGATTACAGGCACCAAGGAAACAAATATTTAAAACAATAATAAGAAAGTGTGAAATCAAACATTTTTTTTAGCATATATACACAATTGAGGGTTGAATTTCACATTGCAAAGCACAACTTGTCTTAACTTTTTTCATGTTAGCTAACTGTTAAACATTACATTCATAGCGCCAGAGTTAGTTTTCAGCAAAACATTTTACCACATATGTTCTAGGCCTAATTGTATTCCCCCCCCCCCCAATTTCTATTGACCTAATGAACCATTAATTACTGATGGCCATTATGTAATAAAACAACTGAAATTTTAATTAACTCTAACCTTATCTTTCAATTAATTAATAAATTAATGTAAAACTAAAATTTTGATACATTTTTTTTTACAGTGAGTGATGTCCCTAATGGAACAGGAGGCTCAAAGGGCAGAATGGCACTAATGGGGCAGACGGAGATGGGAGAAGAATAACAAAGTAGGGGCAGAGACAATCAAAATAGAAGGAGAGGTGATAGAACCAGACTATTCCAATGTCAAATCTCAAATATAATTAACTGTAAAGACTTGACCACCTGTCCATTTACATACTAATATATATATATATATATATATATATATATATATATATATATATATATATATATATATATATATATATATATATAGTAAGTTCATAAGTAATTACCTTGTACATATAGGCCTAATAAAAAAAGTTCTTCATAAGTTATAAGCCCATTTAATCAGGTCTTAAAACTTGGCCTACAGATTTCAATACCTAACTACAGAGGTCACCACAGCTCCTGGGTATTGCAACCTCCATTAACCGCACACTCCACCAGAACACACAAGTGGGCCAAGTCTCTCTCCCAGCACAAACAATAACACCATTTGTACCAACAGCTCATGGATTTATATGCTGCCACTTCATGTTCCCAGCACAAAGGGGAAACCACTAGCGTTAAGTTGAATGACCTGTCTAATTGCTTCCCCTTGTATCAAGCTTAATCACTATTAATGCAAATGTTAAATCTATAAACCAAGGGGTCTGAGAGGGGAGGGAAGCGCGGCCCAACTACAAGGAAAGGAAATGGCCTTCTAGTCCCAGCCAATCAGATTCAAGCAATCAGAGACGGTCAAAGTTGGCTCCAGGAGAAATCTTGCCAAGTGGAAAAAAGTAAAAGCCGTACCGCAAACTATGGGTGGGGATATGTGGGTGGGGATATGTGGGGGGGGGGGGGGTGAAGACAGTCCAATACCAATAGTCGTTAATCACATTTCTTTTTAGAACTACGAGATAAAATCAAGGTTTAAGACAAAACAAAGTTTGACTAATCTATCTTCTATATATATAATTCTCCTCTTCGAGCCGTTAGAAAACAAGCTGCAAACGCTCTCCCTACCTCCCCACCCCTACATGGTTTTAGTGAGCTGTGTTCACTCTAAATGTTTACAAGCAGAGCCAACGATTTTAAACGTAGGGGGGGGGGGGAGGGGGGGGGAAGGAAGGGGGGGGGGTTATGGTCCTTAACGAGCTACTTATAGTGTTTTAAAGAAATATTTTCAGTGGCAGCGTTGGTACTGTCGAATTCACAAATTATGAATTATTGAAAATTAGAAACAACTAAATAGCGGCGTATGTTATGCCGCGGGCCGGCTCGTACATTTTAAACTGGCTAATTAACAGGGCATAATTTCAACTAGCCATGTACTCGGTATTGAATAACTACATACTTTAGTCACGTAAAACATACTGAGATTTGAGCCAATCTGTAGGTTCTAAGAGTAGAAAATATGTCAGCACCGTTTCCCATCAGGAATCATATATCTATATGTGGTTTTAAACCTACTTTAACTAATGTCGCCACCCCATGTAAATAAATATCTGAAAGAAACCCTGTTTCAGAGTAATTTCAGTATAATATATAGGTTCTTACAAACGTATAGTCAACCACTTTCTCTATACAAAAAAAAATTATCTAGTCGTCAACAGAGCATTTTAATTTAAGAAGTAGGCCTACAACTACACATTTTAAAATTAGCGAATACAAACTCCCCCTACACTCCCTTTAAATACAACACATCCGCTTAAACACACTTGTTTGTAAGAAATCCAGGTCTAGTTCATTTTTACCCTTATTTATTTTAAATATCAGTTACTTTAGAAAGATTGTCAGGCATGAATATCAGTTACTTTAGAATGATTGTACTGTCGAAACTAATACAACCAGGTCTTGACGATCAAGTTTATTATTTATTCTACATACACAGGCGAAGGTTTCCTTACGGTACAAGGCAAGATTAGTCATGGGAATTTGTTTTTCAATTACCGATCAAAGACGTGTATCATACAAGCTTACTGTAAAAGGATACCCGTGATGAAATAAAGGACAGCTACTCTCGCCTACCAAACACAAACAAGGGGGTTAACTCAAGTATAATTTGTTGTGACAAGGGGAGAGAACCACGTTGGGATATCGTATCAAGGGAATGGTTGTACAGAGATGGTAGATCCAAACAATCGTTGATCAGTTGTGTACGACCAGGGGCCAGTCTCACAGAACACTATGGGTCAACTCCACGCAGAGGTCAGATCAAGAAAACTATGGGTCAGTTCCGGAAAACTATAGGTCAGATCCAGAAAACTATGTCAGTTCCGGAAAACTATAGGTCAGTTCCGGAAAACTATGGGTCAGTTCCGGAAAACTATAGGTCAGATCCAGAAAACTATGTCAGTTCCGGAAAACTATAGGTCAGTTCCGGAAAACTATGGGTCAGTTCCGGAAAACTATGGGTCAGTTCCGGAAAATTATATGTCTGTTCCGGGCTCCACGCAACCCAGGGTCAGTTCCGGAAAACTATAGGTCAGTTCCGGAAAACTATGGGTCAGTTCCGGAAAATTATGTCTGTTCCGGGCTCCACGCAACCCAGGGTCAGTTCCGGAAAACTATAGGTCAGTTCCGGAAAACTATGGGTCAGTTCCGGAAAACTATAGGTCAGTTCCGGAAAACTATGGGTCAGTTCCGGAAAATTATATGTCTGTTCCGGGCTGCACGCAAACCAGGGTTAGTTCCGGAAAACAATGAGTCAGCTCCACGCAAGCAGGGGTCAGTCTTATAAAACTACGGGTCAGGTTGCTATTACAAGCAATTTGTACCAGACACCCCGGGGTCGGGACGCCACGATACCAACACGGTCGAGGATTACGTCACAGCTAATTAACGCCTGCCGGTCGCATGAAATCAGAGAGCCGGTATAAATACAGGGTTCAACGAACCGTCTTGGTCCAGCCGGCCAGGGGAAGTAATTTGATTTGGGACTGGGCTTGATAATACTAGGGGAGGTGCCGGGACCCGTTGACCTTCACCTTGGTGTGTGTGTGTGTGAGTTGCGGACACACAAACCATTTGGCACGTTAGTACCGGGGAGATGAACACTGGGAGCTCATGTGTACATAAACTGGACGTCTCGGGCTGAAGTACTCACGCTAAAAGCATCAGGACAAGTCTTAAGACTGAGGGTGAAAGTTGACGCTGTAACAGAGGGGAAGTCGTGACCGGTCATTGAACCATACAGGTGAGTGAAGGTGAATAATTCATGTGTTTCTACACTAGTGCAGGGCTGGGTCAACTTGTGGCTAACAGGACCCGATGTTGAGGAATCTTTAGAGCAGTAGCGTACGCAGGGGAGGAGCAGGGGGAGCGGCCGCTCCCCCTCTGGCCATTTTCAGCAAAGTGGCGCCTTTTTGGAAACTTTTTAATCTCAACGTTTTAAACAATGATATTTGTTAAAAAAATATTTTTGGTCGTGCCGACCAAAAATATTTATTAATATTATTATTTTTAAATTTACTTATGAGCAAACTGCGTAGAGGTGGGGAAAT